CTGAGCCCATGTGCCACAACTACTGAAGCTTCCGCGCCTGGAGCCCGTGCTCTGCAACAAGAGAAGCCACGACAATGAGAAGCCCGCGCACCGCAACGAAGAGTAGCCCCCACTCGCCGCAACTAGAGAAAGCCCGCGCACAGCAACGAAGACCCAACACAGCCAAAAATAAATAGATAAATAAATTTATAAATAAATAAATAAATAAATACAATGGAGCTAGTTGGAGTGCCAAGTATGTCTACAAGAAGTAGGCTGCTGAGTAGAGATAGGGGCATTGGAATAGCGGAGATCAAGGGAAATAAGGCATTTTGAACACCTACCAGCAGTGGCCTTTCTCCCCACCCTCCAGGGGAGTTGGCCTTGTGTTTGGAGCAGGGGAACAAGTCCCAGAGAAAAGCTGGGCAAACAGGCTGGTCTCAGGCAGGTTCCATGCAAAGGGTACAAAGGGGTGTGGTGGGAGTTCAAGTTCTAGGGGAAGGAAGACGGCAAGCTGAGACTGGGAGGCAGAAGGTGTGTGAGTTCTCAAGGAAAAAGAGACAGTGACTCGGGCAAAGAACCTCGGCAGGTTCGAAGAACTCCTCATTTTCTTCTTATCAAAAGGAAATGGGGCTTCCCTGGTGGCGCAGTGGTTGAGAGTCCGCCTGCCGATGCAGGGGACGCGGGTTTGTGCCCCGATCTGGGAGGATCCCACATGCCGTGGAGCGGCTGGGCCCGTTGAGCCATGGCCGCTGAGCCTGTGCGTCCGGAGCCTGTGCTCCGCAACGGGAGAGGCCACAACAGTGAGAGGCCCGCATACCGCAAAAAAAAAAAAAAAAAAGAAAAAAAAAAGGAAATGGCGGGCTTCCCTGGTGGCGCAGTAGTTGAGAATCCGCCTCCCAATGCAGGAGACACGGGTTCGAGCCCTGGTCCAGGAAGATACCACATGCCGCAGAGCAACTAAGCCTGTGCGTCACAACTACTGAGCCTGCGCTCTGGAGCCCGCGAGCCACAACTACTGAGCCCACGTGCCACAACTACTGAAGCCCGTGCACCTAGAGCCTGTGCTCTGCAACAAGAGAAGCCACCGCCATGAGAAGCCCGCACACCGCCACGAAGAATAGCCCCCGCTCGCCGCAGCTAGAGAAAGCCCGCTCGCAGCAACGAAGAGCCAATGCAGCCAAAAGAAAAAAAAAAAACTTATTTTAAAAAATTTAAAGAAAAGGAAATGGAACTACGTCACAGGTAAGAAATGGAGAGATAAATACCACATTTTAAAAATATACTTCAGTATTGCTTGATTTTGTTATATATGTTATATTCTCATATTTTTTAACAATAAGGATTTTTTTTTAAAAGGCAACAGCCGGGACTCTGCCTAGTAGGTACCCCTCCACTGCCCGGACTCAGGTGCCTATACCCACCTTTACTGACTGTCTCCAGCAGCCTCCCGCTTTATCTGCCACACTCTCCCAGGCCTGAGCTGCAGTTCCCCAAGTGGCCAGCAGAGGGTCCTTCCACTGACAAATACAGTTGAAAATCTTTCTATCCAAAGATGAGAGAGAGAGAGGGAGACTGTCAGGGTGGACCAGAAACCTGGGGTGGTGAAAGCAGAACTGGGTCGGTTCCAAAGTCCACAATCCAATTCCTTTCCAGCTCCCATAGGATCCTGCTATCCCCCTTTCCCCATAAGTCCATAAAGCTCCTTATCAACTGCTTCTCCCACAAATCCCTGCCCAGAGCACCCTGTGTCTGCTAGATTAGCTCCCAGCACTAAGCTGAGGCAGGAATTTTCTGCTTCTGCCTTGCTCCTCACAAGGCAGTTATCACCAACACTTACCTATCTGGGTCTAGGGCACCTGTTCTGGATGGAGGCTGGCTTGGTGGTGGGAGGGGAGGCTCTGGGATGGGAATTGGGGAGGATCCTAGAAATAGGAGAGGATCAATTGCAGGGAATGGAGGAGGTCTATTTGAGGAAAGGGGAGGAGGATCCATTTTGGGCATTGAGGGAAAGACCATGGTAGGAGATTGGAAATTCGTTCGGAGGATGAGAAATCAAAGCATGCCCCCAGATTAGCAACATCAGCATAACCTGGGGACTTATTATAGATGCAAATTCTCTGGCTCTATCCCAGATACTGACTCAGAAACTCTGGGAAGGGGGCCTCGTGATCTGTGTTGTAAGGAGCCCTCCAGGGGATACTCATGTGTGCTAAGCTTGAGAACTACTGCTCTCGAGTTACAAGGTCTCTTCCAGGAGTTAGAGGTGTGCGTTCTACGGAGTCAAAGTTCTGTCTTGGAAGGTATGTGGAAGGAGTTGGGGGTATCTCCCAGAATGGGAAGGGTCTCTCCTAGTGGACCTCTAGAAGGTTGGAAAACTTTTATATCCTAGAATGGGAAGAAGCCTGTTCAGGGGAGTGGAGACGGATCTGCTTCATAAAATGGGAAGGTGACACTATTAGGGAATGAGGAAGTTGGACATAGTAGATCAAGTCATCGTTTAGAATGTGTAGTCTAGGTTTTGGATCCCTGGATCCATGACATGAGCTGTGTGACCTCATACTTGTACTTAACATTTCTGAGCTTCAGTTTCCTTATCTGAAACATGGGAGGATAATACTGGCCTCATAAATTTGTTGTGGGGACTGGTTAGACTGTTTATTCAATACATGGCTATACAGTGGGTTTCCTGTGCACAAGTTCTGGGAATTCAGGGGAGAAAGAGACAGACCTAGCTCTTTCTTCAGAGATCATATCTCTATGCTGAGAGCCTAGCACGTAGCAGGTATTCAGCAAATGTAGTTTCCCCTCCTTTGCCAAGGAAATGGGAGATTCTTCTGCAGGAAAAGAAATGACCTTGAACCATGGTAAGTCTGACCTGGAGAGTAAGGATGTATGATCTGTTCTTGAGAATTAACAATCATCATCTATTGCTAAGCACTTGAACATTTGAATCTCATAAGAACCTTTTCTTCTGAGAGGCAGATATGTAGGATTTTTTTATCATCCCCATGACATGGATGAGACTCAGAGAGGTGGAGAAATTTGCTTGAGTACAAAACTAGTAAAAGCACAAAGGGTAGAATGCAAATCTCCTGACTGCAAATTCAGGACATGGAAGATGTGTTCACAAAATGGGGAGAGGGTGTCCTGTGTCCTAGAGAATGGGGAGGCCTGTTTCAGGGAAGAGAAAGACTTTTAGTGGCTGCATGACAGGTGTTCTAACCCAGGGAATGGAAGGTTCATCAGGGCAGTGGTTCTCAACTTTGCCCACTCAGTGCGATCAGTTGGAGAGCATTTTAAAATACTAATGCCTGGATCCTACCTCAGAGATCAGCATGAACTGCTTTGGAGTGTTATCTAAACATCTTTTTTTTTTTTTTTTGCGGTACGTGGGCCTCTCACTGTTGTGGCCTCTCCCGTCGCGGAGCACAGGCTCCGGATGCACAGGCTCAGCAGCCATGGCCCACGGGCCCAGCCGCTCCGCGGCATGTGGGATCTTCCCGGACCGGGGCACGAACCTGGCAGGCGGACTCTCAACCACTGCGCCACCGGGAAGCCCTAAACATCTTTTTGAAAGTCCCCAAGTGATGCTAACTCTCAATCAGGGCTGAGGACTACTGCTCTGGGGCAGGGGGTATGAACCGCACAGGGTGGAAAACTGGCAGAAGGCTTGGAAATGTTGGTCTCTGAAGATAGGGAAGGCTGTCCTGAGGAATGGGGACAGAGCATTTCTAAGGGAGGGGAGGAAATTTTCCTGAAAATTGGAAAGTTGTATGCCAGGGAGTGGGGGGGAGTGTCATTAAGCTATGGAGTTATCTTGAGAGAATGAAGAGCCTGTCTAGGAAGTGGAGGGAGACAGTCCATTTGGGAATAGGGTTCCCAGAGGCTTCATAGCAGAGAGGACTTTAGGGTTTAAGCCGTGTTCTGTTACCAACTAAATGTGTCCTCTTGACACATGGTTAACCGTACTATGCCTCAGTTTCTTTATCTGTAAAGAGAGGTTGTAACACCAGCCTCATAGGGGTATTGTGAGGATTAAATGAGAGAATGCAACTGTTGGGGGGGACTCTACAGTAGAGCACTGGGGGTTAACTTGGAGAATGGGGGTTCCTGAGGAACAGTGGTGATGTGGCGCATGGGGTCAGGGGAAGGTAGAGAGGGCTGTATGAAACTCTAAGTCACAGGGTGGGGCCTGGAGACGTCCTGCAGGGGCCGCCAGCCTCCAGGCTTCAGAGAGGCTGGCAGAGGGGGGGACCAGCGGGCGAGAGGTTTGACTGCTAGTAACCTCTCGTCTGCTGCAGCAAGGAGAAGCCTCAGCTACAGCAGCAGTACCAGCAGCCTCCCCTCCCATCCGTCTCTGCTGTGGGACAGGTGGGAATTTAAAAGCTCAGGTCACGTGTCTCTGCTGGTTAACCTACTTACCCCTTGAAGACTGGGGCGGGGGCAGGCGGGGGCCAAGAGGAGTTGCCTGAGGAAGGCGCGGAGCAGGGGAAAACCCCAAGAGTGCTCTGGGCACTTTTGAAGGCTTGTCGGGTGAGGGAGAGAATGCACACGTATGTGAGAAGACGCCAAAGACAGTGTTCTGTGAGCCCTGTGCACGCCCTGGCACACATGTGCCCCCAGCATCAGGCAATGCCTGTCTTAAAGGCCTGAATTTGCCTGGGAGCATAAACATTTCTACAGTTGGAGCAGGCTGTGCTCTGGGTACCAGTTTAACCTTGGAGCTGCCTGCAAGCTCTCCCAAAGCAGCCACGCTCTGTCTCTTTTTAACTAGTCTCCTCGCCCTTAGAGAGGGAAAGGGTAGGCGGGGGAGGGGTGGGGGGAGGGAGGATGTCCCACGATTCTTGCTTTCAAAGCATTTTTATCTAGTTTGGGGATTCCCAGGGGATGCCTGAGCTCAAGGGCCAGAACTGAGGGAAATTAATGGGGGGTGGTGGTGGTGGTGCAGACAGGCTGACAGCTCCACAATCCCTTGAGAGTGACGGAATCTGCACCCCCAATTCCCCTCCCCCTCCGCCACCACAGTTGTATAGTCTGTAATCCAGGGACGTGTCCCCACTGAGTGACTTCAGCTCTCCCTTCCTCAGTGCCACCAAGTCGGCCCTTCGCTACCAATTCCCCAGTCCCGGGTCCACAACTGCACTCGCTGCGGCACCCCACGTCGCCGACGCGTCGCTCCCCTTCGCCGTCCTCGCCCCCCGCGGGCTGCGGGGCGGCGCGGGCTCTTTAAGAACAGCGGGAAGGGCGAGCAGCAGCTTGGAGGAGAGCGCAGTCGCCCGGCGGGTTCGGGAGGACAAGGTACCGAAGATCGGGCTCAGGGAACCAGGTGTGCGCGGCCAAGCTGAGTAGGGGCGCGCCCCTGTCGCCCCTCCCCAACCCTGTCATCTCTCTTCAGACCTGAGGCCCGAGCCCTCCCCTGTCGCCCGCCCCGGCCCGGCCCCGGCCCGGCCCGGCCGCCGGGACCGGGAGCCGGGACGCTGGTGCCGCAGCCGAAGGCAGGTAAGAGGGCCTGGAGTCTCCATCCTCCGCCCGCGGCAGCGCTAAGCATCTCGGCTCCGCACCGGCCCGGGGGCACCTCAAGGTGACCAGGCTTGCGGAAGATGGGAGGGGGATGAGCCCGCCATGGGGGGCTTAGTTGGCAGTGGGGATTTTGAGTCCCGGTGGTGCGCCCATCTCTGGGGAGAGCCCAGGGCGCGCGGACCGAGGGGCGCAGGCGGGAGGGGCTAGCCAGGGCGTCTCGCCCAGGGATGGGGAGGGAACGCAACGGGAGGCCCAGAGCCTCCTCTTCCTCCGCCTTCTCCTGGTCCACCCTGTGCTCACCCTGCTACCCTGACCTCCTAGCCTGCAGTCTCCGCCAGCCTCCCCTTCCCACCCACCCCCCATCCAGTCCCCTGGGGCTGCTGGCCTGCGGGGTAAGGAGATTAGAGCCTCCGTGGGGAGGAGGGAGCGGGTGCGGGCTTCGAGGGGCCGAGCTGGGGCCAGGCTAGGGCTGGGGCTGCCCGGGACCGAGGAGAGGTCGGGACTGATCGTTGTTGCGCGGGGAGTGGTGGTTGGGGGAGGGCAGATGCTCTGGCGGTGGGATGTGGGCTGCTCCCAGTAGCTGGTCTACTCTGAGAAGGAGGTGGGGAGTGGGGGCGAGGGCACATTAGAAAGCAAAGGAGCTCTGAGCCAGGGATCGGGGTCTGCCCCAAATTGAGCAGGCCCTCTCCCTGCAGGCCGGCGGCGGCGTGATGGCGGAGAAGGCGCTGGAGGCCGTGGGCTGTGGACTAGGACCTGGGGCTGTGGCCATGGCCGTGGCTCTGGAGGATGGGGCGGAGCCCCCTATGCTGACCACACACCTGAAGAAGGTGGAGAACCACATCACCGAAGCCCAGCGCTTCTCCCACCTACCCAAGCGCTCAGCCGTGGACATCGAGTTTGTGGAGCTGTCCTATTCCGTGAGGGAGGGACCCTGCTGGCGCAAACGGGGTAAGGGAGCAGCCTGATGGGGAGTTGTGAGCCCCCATGAGTTGCCCCTTTGGGAGCATGAGGCCTGGATGTCCCCTCATCTGCAAATCCGGCAGGAGCGGGTCCACTAAAATCTATGCACCTCATTCACTGTGCACACAGCTGAGGTGCCGGGGGTCTGCACTCCCCCTACACCTGTAAGCACCATGGGACACTAGGTTCAATTGGTTATTTCCTCTTCCAAGTTGACACTATCACCTCTGGTCCATGAGGAGTTTTCCTTCGTTGTTTCAGGTAGAGCTCCTGCCTCTGAGGGCTGATATGAGAAAGTAGGGGCTGTGCTGCAGGGGTTGTCCTCAGTGGTTAGCAAAAATCCTTGGACCTACAGAGCTCTGCTAATTTTAAAAGATGTTCTCATTCCTGTCTTCTTACTTCGTTCTTGCCAAAGTCCTCCGAGACATGGAAGGTGAAGGCTTGACAGGATAGATGACATCCATGTATTAGTAATAAGGAAACTGAGGCCCAGAGAAGTTGAGTAACTTGACCAATGTCACACAGCTAATAAGTGGCAGACTTGGGACCAGAAGCCAGGTTTTCCAACTCTCCATGCAGCGTTCCTTTCTCTCTCTTAACTTCCCTGTTAAGCATTCCCATCTCCTCCTTGTTTCTCCCATTAGGACAGTGGGGTAAGGTCTGGCTGGGGCTCTGAGTTCCTTTGAACCCTAAGCATCTCCTGCATCCCTTGCAGCTTTTGCCCCCCACCCCACCCTCCCTGCCCTGGGCAGGTTGAGCTGGGAATAGGGAAGCTGGGGTTTTCTCCAGAGCCCGGGTGTGGATCAGAGGTGGAGCTGGGACATTGTTCTCTGAGGTTTAAGAAATGTTTGGGGTGCTTCAGAGCAGGGCTGAGCCTGAGCTCTCTCTGCACTCCCTACCCTCACTCCCACGAGGGACCAAAAGGTCACAGGGCTTGAACCACTGGAAACTGAGGTATCCGGGCTCCGTGCTCAGCACCTTAACCCTAAGCAGCCTCTCGGCTACCTCCAATGAGGAGGTAGTTGTTATTTTCCTAGCCCTCACAGTTTTAAGGAGAAATGAAGATACAAAAGAAATGTGTCTAGATGGGCCAGCTCTCTTGCTTCAAGCCACCAGCCACAACAAATGGGCACCCCTGACCAGGTCCTTCCCTGCTTTGTCCTTGCCAGCCCCATTCTGCTTTACTGGCCATTTTGCCGTCTTGTCCATCCCTTGCCCCTTTCTCTGCCCTCTGTCCTCCCCTTTCTGCCTTCTCTTTTCACTTGAATCCCTGTCCCCTTCTCTGGAGGACAGAAGGCAATCAGAGGTAGGCAGAGAGGAAAAAGAGCAAGGGGCGTGGAGAGAGGGAGATTTCTGTCTTTCCCACGTAAGGATTTGTCACTCACCTCTCCTAATTACAAAGGACATTTCTTGATTTTTAAAACCCTTTTCTATTAATTATTATTAATTATCTTACTTATTATTCATAGTAACCTTATTATGTCCTTGGGAGGAGATATACTATCCTTATTTTATAGATGAGGAAATGGAGGCCCTGAAGGATTGACTTCATAAAATTGTGAAGAGAGTTACTGACTGAGGCAGACCTAGAACTGTGGTGGGTCTCCATCCTGAAGGCATGGCAGGCCCCTCCCATGCTGAGCAGTTGTGGTCCAGCAGGAGTCCCAAGACATGGGTTCCTAGCCACTTGTAAGCTGTGTGACTTTGGGCAGGCTGCTTACCCTCTCTTGGCCTTACTTTCCTCATCTGTAAACAGGGATGATAAGAATACCCACCACACAGGCTTGTTGTGCGGCTCAGCTGAGATGTTAGCTGTGAAAATGCTTTGTGAAAGGCAAGCATAGGGTGATACTTGAATTCGGCAATAGTGTTCAATCGAGTGCTTGGTGGGGATTAAATGAAGGGAGGGGTCATCACTGTCAATTTCTTCCCCTGCAAAAGAAATTGCTTCCTGTGAGTAGCTCTGAAAGGCATACACTGGCACACACAACCACACATCTTCCTAATTGACGGTGATGATGAATGAGGCAGAGGGTCGGAATCCATGACTTCCCCTCTCCCAGTAAAGAACTTGCTGTGTGTGTGACCTTGGGTAAGTCACTGGATGTCTCTGGGCCCCAGTTGCCTCATCCATGTTGCTACAGCAGTGACTGAGGCAATGAGCTTTGTAAACTGGAAAGCACCATACGGGCATTTGGTGTGATCAGGATCCCAGAGTGGGCAGCAGCTGATCCCCTGTCTGACCGGATATGTCCAGAGGGACGGCTGGGTTCTGTGGAGGGAGGGTGAAAGATCACATCCCTTCACTGCCTCTGCTAAGGAGGTAGAATGGAGAGGGAATTGGGCTCCGTACGGGTGGGAGGAGGGTGGTAGTGAGCAAAGTACCTGGTAGGGGATTGGTGTTTCCGCCTCACTGAGGCAGGTCTGCAAGCACAGCAGGCAAGGCCAGCCTCCTTGGCTTCATTCCTCTCCACCCACTTGTCTCACCAGTTGACTCCATGGAGTCTCTGCCCTTTGTTCCCTGGATTGTATTACATATATGCTGTTGTATAGCAGAGCTTTTCCTCCCAAAGCCTGGAGAGCCTCTGCCTTCCTTTTCCATTTTGAAATGCTGTTCATCCTTCAAGACTTAGCTCAAATGCCACCTCTTCCATGAAGCCACTCCTGATTTTCCCCTTGCCCTTCCATCCTCATCAATTCCATTTTCTGCATTCTCATTGCACATGATTTGTACTTCTGTTATAACCCTTATTTTATCTTTCTTCAGATCCATAGATGGTTTCTTGTCCATCTTTTTAACCTAGACTATCACCATCTTGAGTGCAGGAACTATGTCTTCCTCATTCTTTTGGTGCACTGTCTGGTACAGAGCTTGGAATGTAGTATATATCAATAAGCGCTTGCCAAATGGGATTAATTATAAAATGTCACTTGTTTTTAATGGGCTCTATGTGCCAAGCACTGTGTCATATGCTTTACATATATTATCTCATTGAATCCTTATAGCAACCCTATGAGATAGGTATTATCATCCTCATTTTACAGATGAGGGACCTGGAGCTCAGAGAGGTTAAGCAACTTGCCCAAGGTCACACAGCTGGTAAGTGCGGAGCCAGAATTTGAACGTAGATCCACCCAACTCCAAACTGGTTCTCTTAATGCATATGCTGCCTCCCAGTGAGTGAATGAACGGTGAGACTTTACTGGGCCATGTTAGGGTCTGCAGAGACAAGCCTGGTGGGCAGAGAGAGCACCCCGAAGAAGGCTTTTTAGAATGAGGCCAAGGCTCTGAGAACACACACTCATAGAACCAACACTTACTGAGCATCTAGTATGTGCCAGCCAGTCTGCTAAGGTTACAAAGACCCTTCCCCCAAGGAGCTCACTGACTAAGAGGCTGGAGGAGGGGAATGAGGGGCAGGCACATGAAGTAACAAACGTGTTGACATATGAGAAGTGCTGTGGGAGTGCAGAGGACAGCCAGCCAGCTCAGGCTGGATCGCTGGGAAAGCCTTCCTGGAGGGGATGAGCGAGTGGCCGCTGTGTTTACAGAAGAGTAGAGTCTACTGTAACTTTGATCTCCTCTCCACGCCCATCCGTCAGATGTGGAGGTTTTCCCACGACCTTCAGAAGAGCACTGCCGGGCTTCCCTGGTGGCACAATGGTTAAGAATCCGGCTGCCAGTGCAGGGGACAAGGGTTCAAGCCCTGGTCCGGGAGGATCCCACATGCCGCGGAGCAACTAAGCCCGTGCGCCACAACTACTGAGCCTGTGCTCTAGAGCCCGTGAGCCACAACTACTGAAGCCCGCGTACCTAGAGTTTGTGCTCCGCTACAAGAGAAGCCATCGCGATGAGAAGCCTGCACACCGCAACGAAGAGTAGCCCCCCGCTCGCCGCAACTACAGAAAGCCCGCGCGCAGCAACAAAGACCCAATGCAGCCCAAAATAAATAAATTAATTAATTAAAAAAAAAAAAGAAGAACATTGTCACCTTGGGTACTTTGACATTAGTGGTGGTCGTTTCTAGGGGGACGGGATGAGAGGGTATAGGTTATTGTTGGGGCTCTGAGGGTCTCTCCTCCATCCTAACCAATTCACAGTGAGCAGGGACTGCCTATTTCACTGACAGCCATGGCTCCTAAGAGTTTGGGGTGTCTCTGTTCACTGTAGCCCTGATCAAAAGTTCCTCCCTCCCTCACTGCAGGTTATAAGACTCTCCTTAAGTGCCTATCAGGTAAATTCTGCCGCCGGGAGCTGATTGGCATCATGGGCCCCTCAGGGGCTGGCAAGTCCACGTTCATGAACATCTTGGCAGGATACAGGTGAGGACAAGGCTGGGGTAGAGTGGGGGCAGGACCAGGCAGAGGGGTCCCCTGGGGAGCACAGAAGTTGTTCTGAAGTGACGCTGAGCCCCATCCCCAACCAACGTTCCTTCAGGGAGTCTGGAATGAAGGGGCAGATCCTGGTCAACGGGAGGCCGAGGGAACTGAGGACCTTCCGAAAGATGTCCTGTTACATCATGCAGGACGACATGCTGCTGCCACACCTCACAGTGTTGGAGGCCATGATGGTGAGAGCAGGGTGGCCAGCCCCTCCTCCTAGTTCTCCCTGTATCTGCTGTCCCCGTCCTTCCCATTGGCTAAGGGGTCAAGCCTGTGCCCCCTCCCACACATATCTGATCCGCCTTCTCTCTGGGCCCCAGGTCTCTGCTAACCTGAAGCTAAGTGAGAAGCAGGAGGTGAAGAAGGAGCTGGTGAGTGGGGGAGGGTGGGGGGAGGGGGATGGGACAGCTGCCCTTTTCAGTGCTGCTGAGTTCTGGGGCCCCCGAGTTGGGTGGTAGGAGAGGGGTGGCCAAGGCTGGGACATCATGCTTCAGGGAGATGCTTACTTAAATTGGGGTGGTGCTGGGGGAAGCAGAGACTCTGAAGCTGACCTGGGGTGGGTGGGCGGCCGGGCCAGGTGACAGAGATCCTGACAGCACTGGGCCTGATGTCCTGCTCCCACACGAGGACAGCCCTACTCTCCGGAGGGCAGAGGAAGCGCCTGGCCATCGCCCTGGAGCTGGTCAACAACCCACCTGTCATGTTCTTTGATGAGCCCACCAGGTATCTCTCCCGCTCCTCTCCCACCAGGATGCCTCCTCCCCTCAGCCCAGAGCCAGGGCTAGAGGCTGCATCTGCTCCACTGCTGGAGACAAGAGCATGTGTTTGCAGCCTCCTGGGACCAGAGAAGGGCTCCACCCCTGCCAGTCCTGTTGCCATAGCAGCCCCATCCTTCACCCTAGCAGAAATCCCGATGTCCTCCTTGACAGATGTCGCCTCGCCTGCTCCTTCTCTCCCCCACAGCCAATCAATCGCCAAGTCCTGCTTTTTCTACGTTCTTTTTCCATCTCTCAGATTCACCCCACCCCCATTCTTAGTGCCAGTGCTTAAATTCAGGACATCATCAACTCTTGCCTGCATTTCTGCAATAGACTCCTATCTCCTCATCTCCAGTCTCTCCCAGCCCATCCTTCTTCCAAACTGCAACCAGAGTGAACTTTCTAAAAGAAAAGTCTGGCAATACTCACTCCCCTGCTTAAAAATATGCAGTGATTCCCATTTGCCCTCAGAATGAAGTCAGAGGACTTACAAGGTCCTGGTCTGAACCTATTTCTCTGGCCTCACGTCTTGCTTCACACTGTCTTGTATTTCATGCTCTAATAATACTGAATCACTTATAATTCTCTTAGTCCAGCCATGTGTTTCATGCCTCTGAGCTTTGCACATGCTGTGTCTTCTGCCTGGAATGCCCTTCACCACCGCACCTGCCCTTCCTCCCTCCCTCACCTGGCTTCGCTCTTTCTTCTGCCAGACGCACTCAGGAACCTTTTCTGACTCCCCTCCAACACCTTTGTACAACAGAGCTGAATCCTCCCCCCACTTCACCCCATGTTTCTACAGCATGGTGCACATTACCTCAAATGATCTGTGCATTTCTCTCTCTCTCCCTCCCAACCAGAGTCTATGTCTTATTTATTCATCTTTGTAATCCCAGTGCCTGGCATTCAACAGGTGCTTAATAATAGCTTGTTACACCTAACAGTACTCTGGGCTTCTTGGTACCTCCAAATGCCTGAATCGTACAGTGTGGATGGGATAAAGCGATGGCCAGGGTGACCCCCTTCCTGCCAGCTCCCTCGCCCTCATAGCAGCTGCCCCACCCAAACAGTCCCTTCCCTTGTCTCTGCCCACCTCACCCCGCCCCCTGGTGGCCTCTCTCTGGACAGTGGTCTGGACAGCGCTTCCTGTTTCCAAGTGGTGTCCCTCATGAAGTCTCTGGCCCAGGGGGGCCGTACTATCATCTGCACCATCCACCAGCCCAGTGCCAAGCTCTTTGAGATGTTTGACAAGGTGAGGGTCTCTAGGACTCAAAGGTGACCGGCCTGCGATAGGGAGAGGGAAGGGGTCCGTAGAGGTGTCGTGGGGCCTGCCTGACCCGCTCGTGGTGTTTTCCTTGTCCTTCTCTTTCTGCCTCAGCTCTACATCCTGAGCCAGGGTCAGTGCATCTTCAAGGGCGTGGTCACCAACCTGATCCCCTATCTGAAGGGGCTCGGCCTGCACTGCCCCACCTACCACAACCCAGCTGACTTCAGTGAGTGGGGGCCTGTTGGTAGGGGCTGGGTTATGGTGGCGGGCCAAACCTGGGGGTTCAGATCATGCATTTGGGCCTCCCAGGGGCAGAGATCTCACTGTCGCCTGCCTTCCGCGCACACCCTAGGAAGGGCTGGCTTGCCCTTGGGAAGCAAGGATAGATCTTAGCTGAGCACACCCCTCTGTGTCCCCCAGTCATCGAGGTGGCCTCTGGCGAGTACGGAGACCTGAATCCCCTGCTGTTCAGGGCTGTGCAGAATGGGCTCTGTGCCATGGCAGAGAAGAAGAGCAGCCCTGAGAAGAATGAGGTCCCTGCCCCCTGTCCCCCTTGCCCTCCGGTGAGTAGGGGTGGAGAGGGCAGAGTGCAGAGTGGGGGAGGAGAGAGAGGACCTTGGACATGGCCCTGCCAAAGAGGACATGCCCCAGAGGCATCACAACCACTGGGTACTTAGAAAGAACCCAGGACTTGGAATAGATCTGCTATTAGCTGTGTGACTTTGGGCACATTACTTAACCCCTCTGAGCTTCGACTTTCTCATTCATTTGTTCAACAAATTCTTACTGAGCATCTGTAGCACGTTGTCCTTAGTGCCACCTGGTAAGCAAGACTGAAGCTGTCTCTGGCCTCGTGACCAGTGTGGTTTACTATCATCACTAACTTGGAGGTGATGATACTTATTTCACAGGGTTATTGGGGGGACTGATTAGATCATCACACAAAGCTCTTCGCACCGTAGCTGGTACAGTTGGTGTTCATTCCATGCCAGCTCTTTTCCTTAAGTGAGATACTATAACCCTGGAAGACTGGGAGGGTTATTGTTGCTGTTGTCATCATTATTTTTTTTTGTCATCATTATTATCATTGTTAATAATATTGTGAAACTGGTGGCATAAAGGTATTATACCCTTAGGGTAAATGTTTTCAATGGATTAAAGAGTAGTGACTGGGGAATTCCCTGGTGGTCCAGTGGTTAGGACTCTGTGATTTCACTGCCAAGGGTGTGGGTTCGATCCCTGGTCGGCCAGTAAGCTGCGCAGTGCGGCCAAAAAAATAAATAAATGAATAAAATAAATAAAGAGAAGTGACTGATCTATTAGTAGCCCCCATGGGTGTCCTTAACTCCTTTCTATCTCCTCCCTCCCAAGTTTTTTCTCCCTCTTTGTGTCTCGCTCTGAATCCCACTCTGATTCACACCGCTAAGGCCAGCTTCCAGGTACCCAACTCAATGGTGGAGAATTCTGGAGGACCCTTGCCCCAGGGACGGGCTCAGGGGTTTTCCCACCAGCTGAGCTGGGTGCGTGGTGGGGGGTAGGGTAGGCTCACCTGATCCAGTGTCCTCCCTCCAGGAAGTGGATCCCATTGAAAGCCACACGTTTGCCACCAGCACCCTCACACAGTTCTGCATCCTCTTCAAGAGGACCTTCTTGTCCATCCTCAGGGACACGGTGAGACATCAGGTTGGGGGAGGGGAGGCTGGCATAAGCCTGGCCTTGTTGGGTGTAGGATCCCAGCAGCTGGGATGGTGATGGGGCCCCTCCCCCAACAGCTCCCCCTAATGCCCCCTGTGGGTCCCTGTGCTTGTGAGGGCATGCCCACATTCCTACCCAAGTGTGACCTGCCCATCCCTAGCCTGTGATCCATCCCCACTCCTCGTCATCACCCCTCACACAGGTCCTGACCCACCTGCGGTTTATGTCCCATGTGGTGATCGGCGTGCTTATTGGTCTCCTCTACCTGCACATCGGTGACGATGCCAGCAAGGTCTTCAACAACACGGGCTGCCTCTTCTTCTCCATGCTCTTCCTCATGTTTGCCGCCCTGATGCCAACTGTGCTCACCTGTGAGCCGAGCTGCCCTGGGCGTGGGACGGGAGTGGGAGGCACGGGGTAAGCCCAGGGTGCTGGACAGCTGTGCCTAATCGGCCTGTGTCCTCAGTCCCCTTAGAGATGGCCGTCTTCATGAGGGAGCATCTCAACTACTGGTACAGCCTCAAAGCGTACTACCTGGCCAAGACCATGGCCGATGTGCCCTTCCAGGTGAGCCTCTTCCTCCCCCGCCACTGCCTCCCTCCTGTCTTGCTCCTTCCATCCTTGCTTGCTTGCCTCCCTTAACCTTGTTACCTGCCATCCTTTCCTTGACTTCTTCTCACTTAGCAACAGGTGGTGAGCACCTACCATGCACCAGGCTCCATGCCAGGCACTAGGGATATAGCAACAAACATGATGGAAGTAGTCCTGACCTTGTGGAACTTATGTTCCGGTGAGAATAAGAGAGGACAAACAGAAAATGATGAAAATAACAGCCCTACAGATGACTCTGTGAATCTTATTCGAGGCAGTAGAGAATAGCGTGGGCTCTGGAGCCGTTCTGCTCCTCGTTAGCTGTGAGACATTGGGCAAGTCACCTAATCACTCTTTGCTTTAGGGTCTCATCTATAAAATGGAATGATGCTTGTATCTACCTCGGGATTGTTTATGAGAAGGAAATGAGTTAATACATGTAAAGTACTTCCACTACCCTGTTCCAAGCACCAGGGCCACCAATAATCCGTAGGGCACCTTTAAGCAAGTTAGAAAACGTGTCCCTTCCTCAGGGTGGAGGCTGCACTGTGCTAGGGTGAGAAGAGCTCAGCTGGGGCTCCACCTCTGGTTGCCTCTTGGTTGGGCGCCTTGTGCAGGGAAGAACTTGCCCTACTGTACGTGGTAGGCTCGGTCCCTGTCCTCCAGGAGTTGATGGCATCCAGGGGAACAAAACCCTCTCATATATACAGTTAATTAATTAACAATATAAGGAATATGCTGGTCCAGATGGGAAGGACCTTCAGAGAAGTCACCGTGCCTGAACGGGTCCGAGCGGGCCTGATGGAAGAGGTGAGACTGGAGGATGAATGAGGTTCTCAGAGCCGGGGTGGAAGGGGATGTGTCAAGTTCATGCGACTGCGTTAACAGGAGTGCAGAGGCCGGAGCAGGCACGGATGCTCTAGCAATTGCTGTCCTGGAGGTTCTGCCTGGGGGGAGTGGAGGGTCTTGGCCTCTGCCCAGCCCTGTGCGCACTCCCCAGGTGGTGTGCCCGGTGGTGTACTGCAGCATCGTGTACTGGATGACAGGCCAGCCAGCTGAGACCAGCCGCTTCCTGCTCTTCTCAGCCCTGGCCACCGCCACGGCCTTGGTGGCCCAGTCTTTGGGGCTGCTGATTGGAGCTGCCTCCAACTCCCTACAGGTGAGGGGCTGGTGGGTGGCGACCCCCAAGAGGGGGGACGGAGTCTGCTGGAAGGAATCAGGGGCTGGCCTAAGGAATGGGATGGATCTATGGGAAACCTGGGGGCCACCCCAGTCCTGGGTCTGTCCAGATCACCCCTGTGACGGCCCGGTCGCCTTCCCTCCCCTCCAGGTGGCCACATTTGTGGGCCCAGTTACCGCCATCCCTGTCCTCTTGTTCTCCGGTTTCTTTGTCAGCTTCAAAACCATCCCCACTTACCTGCAGTGGAGCTCCTACCTCTCCTATGTCAGGTCGGTGCCCCTTCCTCACCATCTGCCCCTGCTCCTCCCTGTAGGAGGCCACGCCCCAAGCGTGAGAGATTGCACCTGGGCTCTAGCAGTTTGCCCAGGGAGCAGGGTCCCTGTGCTCTGTGTCCCGCTCTGATGCCCTTGCTTGCCTAGGTATGGCTTTGAGGGTGTGATTCTGACCATCTATGGCATGGAGCGAGGAGACCTGACCTGCTTGGAGGAACGCTGCCCTTTCCAGGAACCACAGAGCATCCTCCGAGCGCTGGATGTGGAGGATGCCAAGCTCTACATGGACTTCCTGGTCTTGGGCATCTTTTTTCTGGCCCTGCGGCTGCTGGCATACCTTGTGCTCCGTTACCGGGTCAAGTCAGAGAGATAGAGCTTTGCCCTGGCCTGCGCCCCAGCCCCTGCAGCAGGAAGCCCCCGGCCCCGGCCCTTTGGGACTGTTTTAACCTTGTAGACTTGGGCCCTGGCTGCTGGTGCAGCCGTCCTCCCCTCTCTCAGATCCTCCACAGGCTGGCTGTTGGACTGCGCTCCCAGCTGTGGCCCTGGGGCTGGGGGTGCCAGGCCTCCCCGCCACGCCCAGGAGTCTTCCCAAGTTGATGCGATCTGTAGGTCTGTAGCTTCCTCCCTCCTCTTTCCAACATCTGCATGCAAAGACCACGGGGAGGCTGCCACCCGCCTTCTGCCCCCACAACTCCCCTCCTCTGTTGTCTGTCTGGGAGCCCCAGGCTCTCCAGGCCCCCTGACAACTGACCAAAGTGGCCCCCCTGGGGGTCCCCACCACACAAGTGTTTCTAAACTGGGCTGTTATAAGGTTGGTGTTCCAGGGCTGGGCCCTGGTGGGGTCCCCTGGATGTCCCATTTGGACGTTGGAATGGAGCAGGGATGGACTCTGGAAGTCTCTTCCTCCTCCTCACCTCTCCCTGCCCCTAGACCCTGGCTGATTTGGACAATCTGTTGGGACAGAAGCTGGGTTTTCTGTCTGGATCATCCCTCCCAATCCTGGGGATTGGAGAGGCCTGGCGCCGTGGGCTGTCCCCTGGACTCCTCCCCGTCACCTCTGGTGGGGGCTGGGCCTGTGGCACCTCTGCAATAATGTCTGTGTTTCTCTCCCATCCGCCACTGGAACTGGAGAATGCACTTTATTCTCGGGGGTGAGTGGGAGAAGACCCAAGCCTCCTTTCTCGCTGCTCGCCTGGTCCCACAATGCTCCCTCACCTCTCCTGAGTTACAGGCACATATATGCGAACAGGCAATCTCAGCCCTACACACGCTCGCTGTCCCGCTGTGGCTCACAGGAAGAGTGATGGTGGTGGTGACGGTGGGTGCTGTGGGAAGGGCTGTGTCAACCTCCTCCTGGGGATTCCGCATTGATTCTAAGGATGAGGCTGGTGCTGCCCGGGGCGTCTCCAGGATCTGCAGGTGTCTACCCACCAGTCTTCCCTCCCTCCCTCCGTCCCAAGCCAGGGGTGGCACAGGGCACCAGCTCCCTGGAGTGCAGGAGCCCACACGAGCACAAGCATGAGCATAAGATGGACTTGGCCGCTGCCACCCCATGGCTCTTCTTTTGTGTGTCAAGCTGGCGGTCTCACTCCCCCTCTCCTTCCATGGCCACTTGCTGCTCATTCAAACTCTTGTCCGCGTCTCTCCACCTGCTTTCTATCAGCCAAGGTGGGCCCTGGGCACCAGAGCAGCATGCCCACGGCACCAGAGCGACAGACACACCTAGAACATGTCTAGCTTTCCTGGGGGTGCGGGTCCAGGCTCATTCTTCTTCTGATTTCACCTTCCCCTAGGGCTCTTGTCCCCCCTTTGTCCTGTACACACACCTCTCTACCTTCCTTGCCCTGCCACGGATTCTCCCCATCACACAGAGATGCCAGTTGTATTTGTGGGAGTTCACCCATTATTAATAAAACCTATATTTATACAGTATGCAGTGTGTAAATGTGTGTGGGTCTGGCACCTGGTACCATGGGCCGTGAGAGCTCTTGGCAAGTCTATGAGCTTCAGGGAGGCTGTGGCAGGGGATGGGAAGTCAAGCTGGTGAATGTGTATCTTATGGGATATTTGTATCAAGCTTCACGTCTTACAGATGCTTATGTTCATTATCTCAAGGGAGTGTCAGGTCAACCCTGCATTATCTCTCACGACAATCCATTTTGCAGATGAGCGAACTGAGACTTGGATTAAGTAACTTGCCCAAGGACCCTTAGCTAATGGAAGCGGGAACCAGCTCTGACAACCAGGTCTTCTGCCTCCGGACTCCTCATCCTTGGCCTCGGCCCAAGATGCTTGTTACTGGTGGATCTGCAAGCTTCGTGCAGGGGCTCTGTGTCTGTTGCATAGGTGCATTCTTGCCTGAGTGATATGTGACTCTCTTTTCAGAACTCACTGAGCCCTGGTTCCCCAGTTGTGCCTATGGGGGAGTGGGGAGGTTAGGGGCTGTGAAGGCAGTGAGAAGCAGAAAGCCCCAGGGACCTAAGCCCCAGGATGAGGGTGGCAGGAACCCCACTGGGCTCAGCACAACTTTCCTCATTTCTTCCTCGCTTCTTTCCTACCAAGCCACACTCCCATGGCCAAACCATCAACCACCAGGACTACAAATGGCTCTGGTAGCCTGAGATTTGGAGTAGGCAATTGTCCAGAAGGTCTTGAGGGCTGGTGGCAGGATGACCCAAGAAGCAGTACCTTGTCTCTCCCTCTTCCCTCCTGATCCTGAGCTTGGGGACTAAAGGAAGGGGCTGCCATCAGTCCTGCTGGCTGCCTGGAATACCCTACTTGTGATATGCCCTGGGCTAGGGTAGGGCCCCATCTATGACCAGATGGGTGCTTGCCTGGAGATGGACTAACTTTGTTTCTTATGGGGGTGGGAGCGGGGCGGGGGTGGGAAGTGGGGCATGGGAATGGGAAGTGGGAAGTCTGAGTCCTAGCTCCTGGAATTCTAGCTAGCTTGAGGGGGCTCTCTGGGCGCCACCTTCTCCCTGGAATGATACCAATACGTGGCTCCTAAAAGTCAGAGGGCACAAAATTCTGCCACTATATAGTCTTTCTTAAGATTCTTCATTTTTACTCTTTCTCTTTTAAGATGAAATTTAAAATACTCCCCAAAGAGTAAAATTTGTAAGTTCACACATCTGTAAGTTCCCCTTGGAGCTAAAGGAAATGAACAGCCATTCCAGAGCCAGCAAGGGCCATTCAGGCCCCGAGAACATTCGTAGAGCGGCTCACATATTTGGGAAGAAAGCTCTTTTGATTCTTGGAGCACCCCCATGAGGCTACTAGGATGAGTATGATCATTTCCTCCTTTTACAGAGAAGGAAACCAAGGCTTGGAGAAGCGACTTGAGCGAGCTCTCAAGATGCTGTGCTCTTTGCCCTGGAGAACCACCTGCAATTTCTCCCCCCACCGGTCTCAGTAACCTGCAGAGGGGGGGCATCCAAGCATGTTTTGAAATGGGCCCACTCTCCCTGAATGCCGAACTTCCTGGACCCAGAGATCATTTCCTTCAACGCAGCTGCCTTCTGTGACCGGGTCTGTGCAAGGTGCTGGAGGGCAGAGATGACCAAAGCCCTTCTCTGCGCTGTGGCTCTATAGCACCTGCTGCCCCAACCTGAGGTCCAACGACAGAGCACATGCCCACAGTGTGACTCACAGTACTTCTGTCTGCAAGAGGCCAGTCAAATTATATGTTATTAATAAAACCTACATGGCTGTCGTGCCCGCTGAGGGGTGGGGGAGGGGAATGTCTTGCTCTGAGCTGCGTCCAGTAACACAGCCAGGGGCCTGTCAGTCTCACGTGGCTAGGTAAGTGGAGTGAAGCTAGAGGAGTCCTCCAGGCCTGAAATGTCACCCCTAAGATCACATTCACAGCGTTACTCTACCTCCTCTGCCCGCACCCCATCCTACTCCTCGTTCAGATCTTTGTTAAAATCAAATGTGCTCTTTTCCGTGCTGCCTGGAATGCCCTTCTCTTCTCTGGCTTTTTAAAATTTTTATTTATTTATTTTTCCGGGCCTCTTACTGTTGTGGCCTCTCCCGTTGCGGAGCACGGGCTCCGGACGCGCAGGCTCAGTGGCCATGACTCATGGGCCCAGCCGCTCCGCGGCATGGGGATCCTCCCGGACCGGGGCACGAACCCGTGTCCCCTGCATCGGCAGGTGGACTCTCAACCACTGCGTCACCAGGGAGGCCCTATTTTTATTTTTTAATTGAAGTATAGTTGATTTACGATGTTTCAGGTGTACAGCAGAGTGATTCAGTTATACGTGTATGTATATATATACACATATATATTCTTTTTCAGATTCTTTTCCATTATAGGTTATTACAAGATATTGAATATAGTTCCCTGTGCTATTTGTTGTTTATCTAATTTATATGTGGTAGTGTATATCTGTTAATGCCAAATTCCAAACATATCCTTTTTGGTAACCATAAGTTTGTTTTCTATGTCTATGATTCTATTTCTGTTTTGTAAATAAGTTAATTGGTATCATTTTTTTAGATTCCACATATAAGTGATATCATATGATATTTGTCTTTCTCTGTCTGACTTACTTCACTTCGTATGATAATCTCTAGATCCATCCATGTTGCTACAAATGGCATTATTTCATTCTTTTTTATGACTGAGTACTAGCTTATTATTATTTATTATTATTTTTTTAAAAATATTTTTTGCCTTTTAATTCTTTTTTTTTTGGGGGGGGGATACGTGGGCCTCTCACTGCTGTGGCCTCTCCCGTTGCAGAGCACAGGCTCCGGACGCGCAGGCTCAGCGGCCATGGCTCACGGGCCCAGCCGCTCCACCGGCATGTGGGATCTTCCCGGACCGGGGCACGAACCCGCGTCCCTTGCATCGGCAGGCGGACTCTCAACCACTGCACCACCAGGGAAGCCCGCTTATTATTTTTTTAATGTTTATTTATTTATTTGTTTTTGGCTGCATCAGGTCTTAGTTGCTGCACGTGGGCTTCCCTCTAGTGGAGCAGGGGGTCCAGAGTGCGTGAACTCTGTAGTTGCAGCCCGTGGGCTTAGTTGCCCCACAGCATGTGGGATCTTATTTCCCTGACCAGGGATCGAACCCACGTCCCCTGCATTGGAAGGCAGATTCTCAACCACTGGACCACCAGGGAAGTCCCCCAGCTTATTTTTTAAGATCTAGTTCAAATGTCACCTCCTGTGCCAGAGGCAGTTAGTAACTTCCTCTCCCAGGCTTTCCTAAGGCTTCTATCTCCCTCTGAAGTACCATCATTTGGGCCCCCTGGAGAGGAGCTGCTATGGTCTGGTCCCTGTTCACCTTGTTCTGGTTGCTCGATACTAGCCCAGTACCACGTGTTCAGTGAAAAAACAGATGTTTACATGTATAAGTGAAATATCCCCACAGTCCTCAGTCTGGACGGAGGGTAGAGATCATAAAGCCCTCTTCTCAGCCCTGCCCAAGGCTCCTCTCTACCAGTTCCCGACTGCACACCTCCGTTCAGTACAGCCTGTGTTTGCATGTGGAGGGATACCCTGGCTGTGGGTGGTGGGAGGCTCCTCCATCGGTTACGTGGGCCCTGGGTGTGCCCGGTATGGAAGCATAGGGATGAGGCTGGGGTCTTTGAGGACCAGGAAGCCCTAGGGCCAGGCTATGGTTGGGTGCCAGACAAGAGGAGCAGGTTGAGGTGGGAGCTGTCCCTCAGCCCCATTCTTCTGCCTGCCTTGACCCAAATGACCAGAAGCCACACACAGAGGTGTGGGGTCTGAAGAGAGCCAGGTACAGAGGGAGGACCCAAGAAGACCTTGACTCAGATCTCCGTTAGGAGGCAGGCTGAAGCGGTGAAGAGGCACAGAGGGAAGAATGCCCTGGGGATGGGGGATGGGGGATGGGGGTTGCCTCGGGAAGGCCCCGGATTCTTGTTCTTCCCCTTCCTAGTTGGGTCACCCTGCGCAAGTCATTTCACCCTTCCGAGCTGCAGTTCCTGCATCTGTAAAATGGGCATAACAAGAAGCCCTGCCTGGGTGAGTAATGCGATGGAATTGGCGCTCAGTGACCTGCAGAGGGCAGTCCCCGAGGCAGGGCCCGCCTGGATGGAGGGCTGTACCACTGAGGGTGCGGGGAGGAGAGACAGATGGCGAAGAAGTCCCCGCCCCGGGCCTGCTCTCCGGGACACTAGCCCCTCTCGCCATCTCCCTCCTCCCAGTACTCGGCGGCTTGGAGCGCCTGGGATCGTGCTCGCGCTTGCCCGCTGCCGGGCCGGATGCCAGGGCTGGCAGGGCTCCGCGCAGGCGGGCGGGGCGTGCAGGAAGCGCCGTGCGCGCCGGGGCCTCTGGGAGCAAGCGGGAGACTCTGCCGGCGACCGGCTCCCGGGCCTGGGCAGCGGCGGTAAAGGTCTAAGTAGCAGGGGCGGGGCGGTGCTGGGCTAGTGCCACTAGGAGCTGGCGGCTGGGGACGCGTGGGGCGCAGCCGGTGCTCTGAGAGGTGGGCATTCAGGCGGGCTTTACTCTTGGGCTCTGAAACCAACTAGAACTAGGAAAGCTGGGACCCAGTTTAAGAGGAGGAGCTCTGAACCTGTGCGAGCACAGACCCCGTACCTTTCCTGCTGTGCCCTCTCCTTTTCTCACTGCCCTGGAGACCAGCGGTGATCTTCCGACAATTGGCCTCATATCCCCATCCCCACCGCCAGTCCCATCTAGAGTCAGAGGCCCTGCAACTGATTTTATCCCACTGAGCTAGTTTCCCCAAGCTTTTCCAGCTTTCCAGGGCCGTCTCTTAACCCTTCTATACTCCCGCCCCCGACGCCGGGACTCCTGGTCTGAGCCCCAGGCTGCGCCTCCACTGGTTGGCCCTGCTGGCAATAGGGCCCAATGCACCCAATTCTCCCTAAGTGTGCTCTGCCCTTAAGGAGTCACATCTCAGTGGAGACCAGGTGCCAGATAGCTGTATGCTTCATTTAAGGGAGCTCAGAGGGATCAGGAAAGACTTCCCAGGAGAGAGGACCTTTGACCAGGTTCTGAAAAGATTGGGTAGGATTCTGACAGGGGAGAAAGGTCATTTCAAGCTGATGAAAGAGTATGAACAAAGTTAGGGAAGTGGGAGCAAGAATTCAGTAAGCCTGGCCGGTGAGGTACGGGTCAGGGGGAAACTCAGGAAAATAGCTGGTGTGGGCCAGGTGTTTGGACGCTACATAACCTAGGATTTTAGGGAGGCGATTGGGGTCTGGGATCAGGGATGGTAATGGAATGAGACTGAAGGCAGAGGCCACTAAGGAGGAGGAGGGTCTAAGTTAGCACAGGGTGGTAAGGATTATGCAATAGGAACAGGCTGTCAAAGTACTGGGAAGAGGAACCGGCAGGGCTGTTTCCACTGTGTGAAGGAGGGGGGAAGGATTTGAAGACAAGTGGAGGAGGGGGGAAGGATTTGAAGACAAAGAGGTCAGATTTCGAGTAGAAATCACGTGATTGGGAAGATTTGCAGTAAAGTAACTGGAAGGGGAGGAGGGATGCTGAGTTCAGTTCCGCGAGCGTGCGTGCGGCTTGAAGCACTGGCAGGATGTCCATATGGAGATATCAAATAGGAAGTCATTCATTCATTTATCTATAATTTATGCCAGCCTCAAAGGCAGGTTACGTAAAAGTCACAGAGAAGATAAAATGATCAAACCATTAAAACTCAGCTAAAAGGACCTGATAGCTAGGGAAAAACTTCAGAGGAGAATAGATGATTGTTACTGGAAAACGTTGGCTCAGAAAAGCCACTGAAAATGAACACCGGACTCATAGGAGCGTGCTGGCAGCCAAGCAAAGTAAAGGACACCTAAATAAACAGTTCACTAGGCTGGAATTCAGGAGAAAGGTGATCGTGAAGCCTCAGGGGAGAACCAGTGGGTGGTAGGATCACTCAGGTGGGGAATGTAGAGGAGAGAGGTCTGAAAGCCAGGCCAGGGCCTTGGTGATGCTGGCATTTAAGGAAAGGCTGATGTGCTCCTGAGGAGGAAGGGCCTCCCTTGGCCTGCATGAGAGGTGGGGTGGGAAAGTGGGGGTGTGTGGGGTCCATTCACACCATTCTTCCTGCAGCGGAACAGGATAGAAGGTGGTGTGCTCAGTCCCCCAGGCCCTGACCTTCTCTCCTGCCATGAGGTGGGGCTGCCATTTGCCTAGGGCCTCTTGGGGCCCTGGTCTGGGAAGAGTACTCCAGCCAGCAGGTGAGCAGGAAGCAGGGGTTTCTGTTGCCACTTCTCCCTTTCCAGAGTCCAGATGGCACCTCCAAGAGAGAAGGGATCCAGACACCAGGCATGCTAGTCCCAGCTCCGTGATTTACTAGCTGTTGGCCTTGGACAAGTCACCGTACCTCCCTGAGCTTCCTTTTTCCCATCCTAAACTAAGGGAGTCAGACTAGATGATCTTTGAGTGTCCCTGTAGCTACATAAGTCCAGGAACACTTGTCTGATTTCATTTTGCATTCAATGAGTATTTATTGAGTGCCTGCTACGTGCCAGACCCCATGCTAAGTTCTAAGTAGGTACTTGTGAACCGAAACAGATGTGATCCCTGCTCTCATGGAGGAATGGGGGTGAGTGTGTGAATGAATGTTAATCAAATAATTACATGATGAAATATAAAATTTCATAATGACTGCTACAAAGGGGCAGTACATGATGCTATGAGAGCAAATGATGGGGCTTTGATGTAGGTGTGGGGTCTGTGTATTGTTGAGCTAATGTGGGTGAATTCTGGATGCTGTTTCTTCCTTCTGCTTTCTCTCTGTAGATGAACGGATCCCCTTCCTGATCCACTGGAGTTGGCCCCTTAAAGGGGAGCGCCCCCTTGGGCCCCCGAGGTGAGGCCTCAGTGTCATACCTTAGGACACATCTGGGCACAGCAGAGTAGCCTGGGAAGGGTCAGGACTTGGAGAGAGCTTGATCTCCTGGGGAGAGTTGGTTTTCCGGGGCTGGAGAGGGTACAGACTCAGCTACCAGGCCTAAGCGGAAGTTAGCTTATATCATCCAGAGTACAAGTCACAGTGGTCAGCCAGAGGGAGGACCGGTGGGAAGTGGGTGGAGTCTGGCAGTGGTCAGTCTGAGTTCCAGGCAGGCAGTCAGCAGTGGGGGACTGGAGGGGTAGGGGCAAGACCTCAGGCCCTGGGAAGGGTATGAGAGTCAGATGAGGCTCTGGACTTGGTTGTCCAGAGTCAGGCCTGGATCTCAGGAAGCCAGCAGTTCATCAGTCCAGGCAGGCCTGGACTCTGAGCCTGTGCAGAGCCTGAGCCCAGTAGCCAAGCCCCAGCTCATCCCTTTTCCTTGCTCACAGGGCCTTTATACGCCATCACGGAAGCTCAGCGGGCAGTGGTCCCCCATCAGGGAGGCACGGACAGTTGTTCCAGGGCATCGCTGCAGCTGGTAAAGGGACTGGCTCCTCAGTCAGCCTGAGGAGAGGGGCTGCTGGGCTCCCAGTGTGGGGGTGGGTTCAGGGAACGTGGGGAAGAAGGGCTTGGAGAGAGAAACAAGCAGGAAGGAGGTATAGAGGATCCATTACAATCAGCCATTAGTGGACCCACTCTCCCTGGCCCCATTATCCATCTGCCCATGTATCCCTTCCTGCAACATTCATGCAGTGCACACTTATGATGTACAAAGCACTGGGAGGGATATAACATCCCTACCTTCAACACACTGCCTCTAGCGGTCAGGTGAAGATCACACATGGATAATCATACAGCCAGTCAGCCCAGACTCACCCTCACTCGTTCCATGGCTTCCCACTTTCTGCCACAGGGGTCCAAACTTTCTGGACAGTCTGAGGGAGTCCTGTGTGTCCAGCACCACTGTGGGTCCTGGCATCTCCTGGTGCTGTGTCTTGACCCTGCAGCCTGACCCTACCACCTCCTTAAGCTCCTGCATTTCTCAGCCCCTCTCCCTGACATCTTCCCTTTGCCTTCCCATCCAGAAGCTATCCAGCGGCACCGCCAGAACCTGGCCGAGTGGTTCAGCCGGCTGCCCAGGGAAGAGCGCCAGTTCGGCCCAACCTTTGCGCTAGACACGGTCCACGTAGACCCTGTGATCCGCGAGAGCACCCCTGATGAGCTGCTTCGCCCACTGGCTGAGCTGGCCCTGGAGCATCAGCCACCCTCTGCTGGGCTCCCCCCACTGGCCCTGTCTCAGCTCTTTGACCCAGATGCCTGTGGGCGCCGCGTGCAGACGGTGGTGCTCTACGGGACAGTGGGCACAGGCAAGAGCACGCTGGTGCGCAAGATGGTCCTGGACTGGTGTTACGGGCAGCTGCCAGCCTTCAAGCTGCTGATCCCCTTCTCCTGCGAGGACCTGTCATCCCTGGGCCCTGCGCCGGCCTCCTTGTGCCAACTTGTGGCCCAGCGCTACACACCCCTGAAGGAGATTCTGCCTCTGATGGCCGCTGCTGGTTCCTGCCTGCTCTTTGTGCTCCACGGCTTGGAGCACCTCAACCTTGATTTCCGGTTGGCAGGCACAGGGCTTTGCAGTGACCCGGAGGAGTCAGAGGCTCCAGCTGCCATCATCGTCAACCTGCTACGCAAATACATGTTGCCCGAGGTGAGTGCACCCTGCTCTGCCTCCACTGTCCCCAATTTGCCCCCTCAGGATTTTCGTGTCCTGAGTCCGCATGCTTAATGGGTAGGAACGTAGGCTCTGGGTTAGTTCAAATCCTGCCTCTCCACTTCCAAGCCGTGGGACTGAGCAAGTCAGTAACTTCTCCAGGCTTCTGTTTCCTTCTCTCCTTGAGTTGTACTGAACAAATGAGATACTGCCTATGAAGTGCTTAGCATAGCGCCCTGGATCATAGTGGGTGCTCAGTAAGTGTGAGTTATAACTACTGTGGTCGTCATTATCTTCATCCTTGAACACTCAGTCTTCAGGGACTCCCTGGCAAGTGAGGCAATCAGGACACAAGGGTCTTTTTTTTCTTTTTTATGAATTTGTTTATCTTATTTATTTTTGGCTGCGTTGGGTCTTCGTTGCTGTGCACGGGTTTCTCAAGTTGTGGCGAGTGGGGGCTACTCTTTGTTGCGGTGTGCGGGCTTCTCATTGCGGTGGCCTCTCTTGTTGCAGAGAACGGGCTCTAGGTGCACGGGCTTCAGTAGTTGCGGCACGTGGGCTCAGTAGTTGTGGCTCGCGGGCTCTAGAGCGCAGGCTCAGTAGTTGTGACTCACGGGCTTACTTGCTCCGCAGCATGTGAGATCTTCCCGGACCAGGGCTCGAACACGTGTCCCCTGCATTGGCAGGCGGATTCTTAACCACTGAGCCACCAGGGAAGCCCACAAGGGTCTTTCTTAACTCTCAACCATGCTCTTCCCAGGCCAGCATTCTGGTGACCACCCGGCCCTCTGCCATTGGCCGCATCCCCAGCAAGTATGTGGACCGCTATGGCGAGATCTGTGGCTTCTCCGATACCAATCTACAGAAGCTCTACTTCCAGCTCCGCTTCAAACAGCCAGACTGCGGGCACGGAGCTGGGGGGTTCTCAGCCACGCCGGCTCAGCGTGACCACCTGGTGCAGATGCTCTCCCGGAACCTGGAGGGGCACCACCAGATCGCCACTGCCTGCTTCCTGCCCTCCTATTGCTGGCTTGTCTGTGCCACCCTGCACTTCCTGCACGCTCCCACACCAGCTGGCCAGACCCTCACGAGCATCTACACCAGCTTCCTGCATCTAAACTTCAGTGGGGAGATGCTGGATAGCACTGACCCCTCCAAGTTGTCCCTGATGGCCTATGCAGCCCGAACCATGGGCAAGTTGGCCTACGAGGGGGTGTCCTCCCGCAAGACGTACTTCTCTGAAGAGGATGTCCGTGGCTGCCTGGAAGCTGGCATCCAGACGGAAGAGGAGTTTCAGCTGCTGCACGTGTTCCGCCGGGATGCCCTGAGGTTTTTTCTGGCCCCGTGCGTTGAGCCAGGGCACCTGGGTACCTTCGTGTTCACTGTGCCCGCCATGCAGGAATACCTGGCTGCCCTCTACATTGTGCTGGGTTTGCGGAAGACGACTCTGCAGCGAGTGGGCAAGGAAGTGGCCGAGCTCGTGAGCCGTGTCGGGGAGGATGTCAGCCTGGTCCTGGGCATCATGGCCAAGCTGCTGCCCCTGCGGGCCCTGCCCCTGCTATTCAACCTGCTCAAGGTAACAGCCCTAGGATCCCAGGCTGCCGGCCCCCATCCTCCTCGTTCACTCTTGCTCCTGCCCAGAAGGAAACTGCTTCTTCCTGCATGACCGTGAATCCTCTTCTTGGCTCTGTTTCAGATTTGGGCAATCTGGCTTTTAGTGGGAATGGGTCATAAGGAAGGGGGAGAGAGAAGCCGCAGGCTGGGGAAGGCTTGGAGGGGAATCTAAGGGTGCAGAGACTTTCATAACAATCCCGTAACTCTAAGGATAGGTTTTTATTTGTTTTTGGTTTTTTTTGTTTTTTGCCTCTCTCCTCCTAGTCTTTGTTGCTGGGCAGCAGGGGTCACTACTGTCCAGGGTCTGTCCTGTGTTTTGCAGGTCCAGAAACCCAATTGTATCTGTTCCTCAGAGATGATTAGATGCTGGGAGTGATGTCTCATCCTAACTTAATCACCAGAGGCAGGTTTATAAAGCAGATGCCGTTTTATTCATTTATACCAGGAGGATAAATGGCATTGGTAATTGGCTTAGGACAGTCCATCCTGGGTGCAGGTCTGCTCCAGAAACCAAATTACAGGCCTGAGGACTGTGCTGTGAGCAGGGCGGATGTACTAAGTTTTTGATGGGAAGAAGTAGCCACTTTCGGCTGATGTCTGCCGGGTGCCTTGTAAATGAAATATAATTATGATCCCTTTTTTTAAAAAAATTATTTATTTTTGGCTGCATTGGGTCTTTGTTGCTGCGCGTGGGCTTTTCTCTAGTTGCGACGAGGGGGGGTTACTCTTTGTTGTGGTGCTTGGACTGCTTGTTGCGCTGGCTTTTCTTGTTGTGGAGCACGGGCTCTAGGTACATGGGCTTCAGTAGTTGTGGCACGTGGGCTCAGTAGTTGTAGCTCTCGGGCTCTAGAGCGCAGGCTCAGTAGTTGTGGCGCACGGGCTTAGTTGCTCCGCGGCATGTGGGATCTTCCCGGACCAGGGCTCGAACCCATGTCTCCTGCGTTGGCAGGCGGATTCTTAACCACTGCGCCACCAGGGAAGCCCTATGATCCCTTTTATAGATGAGGAAACTGGCGCTCACAGAGGCTAAGTAACTTGACCAAGGTCACTCAGATAGTAAGGAGAATAACTGGGATCTGAGTGCAGGTTTTGTGTTTCTGAGTCCTGTGCTCTTTACGCCAAACCTTATTGATGTACTATGGATATTTCTAGGAAGCTATGGCGCCTTGCTAGGTAACCCTGGTCCTCTTTAGAAATGTTTCAGTAATCGGTCTTGGGGAAGCAGAGCCCTGGTGAGCTGACAACATTTTAACAAGTTTTCCTTTTTATAGGCAGCAAAGCCTCAGGGTTAAAAACAGGGATTCTGTAACGCAGCTACCTGGTTCACATCCAGGCTCTGCCACTTACTAGCTGTGTGACCTTGTACAAGTTACTTAACCTCTCTGTGCCCCAAGGTCCTTATCTGTTAAATGAATAATAATAGATAATAATAGAATCTATATCATTGGCCCCATATGAGGATTAAATGTCTTCATCTGCAGGACCTGGCACATAGTAAGCGCTATTTAATTGTTTGTTAAACACAGAAACAGTCTCAGGCAGCCCATCCCTTCTTACACCATTGCCTCAGGCAGGGAGGTAATGGCCATTGCTGAGGCCACCCACCTCTTTGAGGATCTGCTTGCCTCATCTGGATTGCAGTGAGAGGCTGTGGTCTCCTGACAGGATTCAGAAAGCCACTCAGTTACTTAAGGGGACACCACACCCCTAAGCCCTCTCGGAGGGAGGGTTGCCTAGCAGAGGATGGGTCCCATCTGTTTCTTTATGAACCTATTGATTCATTTTCCCAGAGTGACAGTTTTTGTGTCTTGTCTCCAGATGCTTGTTGGGGGAGGGGCACTATAACCTCCATGGTGGGAACCTCGCCTATAAAAAGTGAAGAAGACACATGAGAGGAGGTGCCACAAAACAACCTGGTGGCTCCTGCCAGAGGAATGGACCTCTCCTTTCCTTTCAGAACCATTGCAAGGATGGCAGCTGGTGTCGCCAACCTCCCAAGCATTCAGTTCTTCAACAAATATTTGAGTGCCAGGCAATGTGTTAGATTCGGAGGAAAAAGCAACAGGACCCCAGGTTTCTGCCTTTTCTGATCATACAGTCTCAACATAAACATGTCAACATAACCATGTGATTAAAAATTCTGGGAAGTGCCTGGAAAACAAAGTTCCAGGTGCTATGGAAGTATGTAAGCGGGGAGGGGGAACTGGTTTGGGGGGAGAAGTAAAGCCTCTCTGCAGGAAGGGCTTTCAATCTGATCCCTGGAGGATTAGCCAGAAGAACTGGGTGTGGGGGGGGAACACTCCAGGAAGAGGGCACAGCTCTGAAGGAGGAACAACCTTGGCACTGTCAAAAAACAAAAAAAAAAAGAGAGAGAGAGAGAGAGAAGCCGAGAGGACAGGAGCAGAGTGAGCGAGGGTGAGAGGCTGTCATGAAGGCGCCGTGGCTGACAGGGGCCTGTCAGTGAAAAATTGATCAATAGTTCATCTGTTGCCAGAAGGGGGACCCCTTCCAGGGCCTGATAACGAGCTTTTTTTTTTTTTTTTAAATAAACGTATTTATTTATTTAGGCTGCATTGGGTCTTTGTTGCTGTGCACGGGCTTTCTGTAGTTGCAGTGAGCGGGGGCTACTCTTCGTTGCGGTGTAGCGGGCTTCTCATTGCAGTGGCTTCTCTTGTTGCAGAGCACGGGCTCTAGGCGCACGGGCTTCAGTAGCTGTGGCTCGCGGGCTCTAGAGCGCAGGCTCAGTAGTTGTGGTGCACGGGCTTAGTTGCTCCGCGGCATGTGGGATCTTCCCGGACCAGGGCTCGAACCCGTGTCCCCTGCATTGGCAGGTGGATTCTTAACCACTGCACCACCAGGGATGTCCCTGAGAGCACGTGCTTGTGTAACACTCGGAAATCAATTGTCTGAGGAGACACACGTACTGACAAAGCAAAAGACTTTATTGGGAAGGGCCGCCCAGGCAGAGAGCAGTGGCGTAAGGGAGCCCAGGAGAACTGCTCTGCCACGTGGCTTGTAGTCGCAGGTTTTATGGTAATGGGGTTAGTTTCTGGGTTGTCTCTGGCCATTCATCTTGTTGGCCCCTATTTAGTCTGATTCAGGGTCCTTCCTGGTGGCACACGTGTCTCAGCCAAGATGGATTCCAGTGCAAAGGATTCTGGGAGGTTGGTAGGACAATATTATGGGGCTGGCGTCTCCTCCCTCTTTTTGGCCCCTCCTGAATTCTCTAGTTTTTGACAGCAGCACCATGTTCCTTATTGGGAACTCCTCTTGTGAGACAACTCATGCAAGTGGTCATCATCGTGCCTGGCCAAGGCGGGTGGTTTTAGTCAACGGTTCCCTAACACATCTAAGAAAGAAATGGAAATTTTAATTCAAGCCAATCTGAGGATTATAACCCAGGAGACAGTCTCTCAGAGAGTTTTGAGAACTATGCCAAAGACATAAAGAGGGAGGCCAACGTATTCAATATATGTGATTTTGGCAACGGGGGTATGTGTAATCAAACACACATCGCAGTAGAAAATTGCACCTAGTCACGAGGAACAGACATCTCAGTTAATGGTTTTAGTGCTTTTCTAAGTATGGAAAGATGCAAGAATCCGGGTTCGTAAAAATTTCTCCTGAAATATCGAAGGACCAGTTCTGTCAGTTTTCCCAAAGCACACAGTACCTTATCCTCATCTTCGCCCTGAATTCCTTTCAAGGTTGTTGTAGCCAGTGACTGCAGTGGCTGATGACTTGACTTCGTAGAATTGGGTGGTGGGCGACATTCTTTATTTTACAATCCCTTCCCTTTCAGTCTTAGTTTCAACCAAGGTTTGGGAGGCATTTCGTGACCTATTTGTTCCACAGCACTAGGAATGCTCATTCCCAGGTCAGGCAAGGATTTCACCGATAGGTCACTCAATGTGCTATTAGTAGACTAGACCCTATTAACAGTAGCCAAAATCCTCTGGACCTCTTACTAGTCCGTTGTGATCCAAGGAACGGTTCCCTCTTGTTGTTTCTTCCCTTATCTAGAGTTACACTATTACAGTCATTCATCTTATAGAACTATATATTTGATCGATTGTTCCAAGTCACCTAATCATCGTTAATTTTTTTGTGTGTGTGGTACGCGGGCCTCTCACTGCTGTGGCCTCTCCCGTTGTGGAGCACAGGCTCCGGACGCGCAGGCTCAGCGGCCATGGCTCACGGGCCCAGCCGCTCCGCAGCATGTGGGATCTTCCCGGACCGGGGCACGAACCCGTGTGCCCTGCATCGGCAGGCGGACTCTCAACCACTGCACCACCAGGGAAGCCCCTCATCGTTAATTTTATCTGAGACTCAGTCACACATTTGGTAATGCAAGAAACAGCAATCTTATAAAATAGGCAAATACAAGTAATATAGCTAGTAGTATTAATAGGATCATAAGTAAGTATTGAAGCTAAGATCTTCCACAAGGTGAGGCCCAGTATCTCCTCAGGTCTCTGAGCAGTCTGTTTTGCACCAATCTCTATCTTTAAGGAAAATGATATATTGGCATTGTACATGAAGTTCACCGAAGATGTCTGCATATACAAGGCGAGTGGTGGGTCACTGTGACTCCTTACAGGATTGAGAAAGGAATGTTATCTTCTAAGGAGTTACGTGGCTGGCGCCAGAAGGCGAAAAAGTGATCTTTATGATTGAGCGGGTATTTCTGCCATGGGGGAGGTCTAGTTAAATGCATAGTGCAGATGCACCATGCACACTGGAGGGGAGGGAGGAGGCCCAAATGGGCAGAGAAAAATTTCATGTTTAAATTTTTCTTGTCTTTCCTTAAAATATGAATTTTATTTCATGAGGCCGAATCGTGCAGGGTCTGAAGCAGTAGGAGCAGCATCCGTCATCGCTGCTGTGATGACGATGATGGTGTTGAAGATGATGATGTATTTAAACCATCTAGCCCGGTACCAAGCTGAATGCATAATATATGCTAACTCCTTCCCACCGCGCTTGGGCTTGAAAATGTACGGGGTGTTTGGGAAAAAGAAAGAATTTCCCAGTGTCTGGAGTACGTGAGACGAGTGTTGAGAGGTGACGCCGGAAAGGTCACATTGGGGCCAAATTACGCCAAGTTTTATATTCCACATGGGCAGTGGGGAGCCACGGAAGGTGCTGCAGCAGGGGGAATAGTATGATCAGACGAGTCGTGCTCAAGTTTAAGGGAGATCACCAAGCTGGAGCAGTCAGGAAGACTGCACCTTAAGCTTAGGCCAGAAGGCTGAACAGCACGCAGTAGGCTGCAGCGCCCTCACCCTGCTTCTCTTCCAGGTGGTTCCACGTGTGTTCGGGCGTGTGGTAGGTAAGAGCCGTGAGACAGTGGCCCAGGCCATGGTGCTGGAGATGTTCCGAGAGGAGGACTACTACAATGACGACGTCCTGGACCAGATGGGTGCCAGTATCCTGGGTGTGGAGGGCCCCCGGTGCCGCTCGGACGAGCCCACAGAGGATGAGGTCTTTGAGCTTTTCCCCATGTTCATGGGCGGGCTTCTCTCTGCCCATAACCGGGTAGTGCTGGCTCAGCTTGGCTGCCCCATCAAGACCCTGGATGCCCTGGAGAATGCCCAGGCCATCAAGAAGAAGCTGGGCAAGCTGGGCCGGCAGGTGCTGCCCCCCTCAGAGCTCCTTGACCACCTCTTCTTCCACTATGAGTTCCAGAATCAGCGCTTCTCCGCCGAGGTGCTCAGCTCCCTGCGCCAGCTCAACCTGGCGGGCGTGCGCATGACACCCCTCAAGTGCATGGTGGTGGCAGCTGTACTGGGCAGTGGAAGGCATGCCCTGGACGAGGTGAACTTCGCCTCCTGCCAACTGGATCCTGCCGGGCTGCGCACGCTCAGGCCTGTCTTCCTGCGTGCCCGGAAGCTGGGGTGAGGCCCTGTCCTTGTGCACGCGTGGAAGAGAAGGTGCTTGGGAAAGCAAAGGGAGTGAGGAAGGACCAGGGGCTGGGGTGAGATCTGGTACGGGTGGAGGTGACAAGAGCTACAGAAGGGGACACAGCTGTGGACTACAAGAGGCAGGATGATGAGGGAGGGGCCCGGTGGGTGGGCAGGCTCCATGCCGAACTCCTTCCTTGGTTTCTCACCTCCTCTCTGCCCACCTTCTGCTGCAGCTTGCAACTCAACAGCCTGGGCCCCGAGGCCTGCAGGGACCTCCGAGACTTGCTGCTGCATGACCAGTGCCAAGTTACCACCCTGCGGTGAGTGCCCTGGGAGGGGGCTCCATCCTGCTGGGCAGCTAAGGTCAAGGGTGAGCTCCCCACCTCCCAACATGCCTGGAACAGGCGCACCCATGCTGTAGTAAAGAAGGCGGGAGTGTAGACCTTGACCTACTCCCCACCCCACGACGTCTAGTACAAGCAGCCAAGCAGGGGGAAAGATGCCACCAGCCATAAATTGGTGCTAAAAAAGCCTCTTGCCTGGCTAAAAGCAGCCTGGGGTGGGGGAGTGGAATAACACCCAGGCTGGTTACCTGGTAACGACGCCACTGATTCCCTCCCAGGATTTTCCCTGTCGCCTCACAAGGATGACCATGACGCTGGGCACTCAATAGATGCTCCCAAAGTGTTGACTGATTTACTAGCAACCCAGACGCTGGGTTCCTGATTTTGGGTTGGAGGAAGGGGAGGTGAATGAGGAGGGAGGGAGAGGGGGATGGGGAAACAGGAAGGGAGGATGAAGCAGGGGCTGGAAGGGGGGGAAAAAAGGAGCAAGAAGGAACATGGTAACGAGGAAGGGGAGAGGGAAGAGGGGAGTCTCAAAGGAGAATGGAAGGCGGGAGGAGGGGAGGGAGAAGCCGGCTTCCACCCCACCCTCCCTCCTCTACGGTGAGCCTCACCCCCGTTTCTCCATTCTCTTTACCTGGGCCTGCATTTCTCTGCGTCCAGGCTGGTCTCTGCCCCAAGCGGTGCACCGTTTTGGCCCAAGTCCCAGTGCTTAGCACAGAACATCTGCTAGGGGCCCTCATAACCTTGGGGTGCTTGTGGCCCTAGGCTGTCCAACAACCCACTGACGGCGGCGGGTGTGGCCCTGCTGGTGGAGGGGCTGGCGGGAAACACCTCGCTGAAACACCTGTCTCTGCTGCACACGGGCCTTGGGGATGAGGGCCTGGAGCTGCTGGCTGCCCAGCTAGACCGAAACCAGCAGCTACAGGAGCTGAATGTGGCCTACAACGGCGCTGGCGACACAGCGGCCCTGGCCTTAGCCAAGGCTGCCCGGGAGCACCCTTCCCTGGAGCTGCTGCAGTGAGTCTTGCCCTCCACTCCCATCTCCCCACCCACCCCTTGGTGACTGGCCCTTCCCCTGCCCTGATTCTCCACCACCATTTCTGCTAGGGTCCTAGTGGCCCCATTTCTATTGACCCTGGTCCCACTGAATTCTAGCATCATCCCTGCCTCCCAGTGGCCACCACCCTCCATCTCTGGCTTATTGCAAACACTTACCCCGTTGCATTTCACAAGCAGGGGAACTGTTATGAGACCGCTTACTCTCTGTCCACCCACCCTCTGCCCCTTCTTCTCAGAGCTGAACAGCATCTACTGTTCTCTCTCCTGCTAGCCTCTACTTCAACGAGCTGAGCTCAGAGTGCCGCCAGGCCCTGCGGGACCTGGGGAGCACCACTGAGGGCGGTGCCCGGGTCGTGGTGTCGCTGACAGAGGGGACAGCAGTGTCCGAGTACTGGTCAGTGATCCTGGGTGAAGTCCAGCGGAACCTCAACAGCTGGGATCGGGGCCGGGTCCGGCGCCACCTGGAGCTTCTGCTGCGGGATCTGGAAGATAACCGAGGAGCCACCCTTAATCCTTGGCGCAAAGCCCAGCTGCTTCGAGTGGAGGGCGAGGTCAGGGCCCTCCTGGAGCAGCTGGGAGGCCCTGGAAGCTGAGACAGTGGCAGCAGTGTGTGTCCCCTGGCCCCAAGCCGCTTCTGTCTGTGGCCTCCTAGCTTGCACTACCGCTTCCAGAAAGATCCCTTCGGGGCTGGAGGCAAAGGAATGGGCACCGCTGTGCCAGTTGCTCTCCTGGGGCATGTCCAACCAGTGCTTCCGAGTCTGGGGTTTTCAGGGTCGTGGAACACGCTTCCCCTCCCTTCGGCTAGAAGGACTGAAAGATGTGGCGTTTTGGTGGCCCCACCTTGTCCTGTAGCGCCACCACCAATCTCCTCTTGGACTGTGCCACCTGGGGGCACACTTCTTTTGTCGGCCTTGCCAGGGGCCTTGCCATCCAGATGTGTTGGAGGGCCTCCGCGTCCTGCCTTTATGCTTTCTGGGGACACCCTGGGACACCCAGGATGCCAGCAGCCACTTTCCTCTCACTGGTGCTGTGTCCTCACCCTTGTTTCCCCTTCACAATGGTACCCAAGCTTGGTGGCCCCTAGGGGCGTGGGTGCTGACTTGCTGCTATTAAAGAGCTGTGTCTTCCAACTACTGTGGAGTCTTTTTTGCCTGTTGCTTTCAAGAAAGGGTACTGTTTTGGTCATTCTGGTTAAACCACTGACCACTTTCTGTTGCAGATGTTTCTTGGGCACTAGTTTCAGAGGCCCTGAGGGCGGCCCAAGAACAAGATGTCAGCATGGAGGTAGGCCATGTTGGGCCATAGGGCTCCTGTCCTCCTTCTCACACTCTTATTCCAGGCTTGGAATTACAGTGCCCAGCAATTACAGTGACCTTTCTCGCGCGGAGGGGGAACTGGGATGGCAGCAGAGTCTCCTGAGAAAGTCGGGGCTCGAGAATAGGGCAGGAGGGACAGACACACTTCCCCAGAGGACAAGACTCTCCTCCCGTTAACCATTACCGACCGCTTCTAAGGCAGCGTCTTGGAGGAGGCGGGACGTGGCGGGGTAGGTGGGAGGGCCAGCTGGTTTCGATGGACCTTGTCCCTGCACTGAGCCTGGCTCGCTGATCCAACCATGCAGGCAGCTGCAGGTAAGAGGCCAGGAGAAATCCTCTGCGGGGGGCTTTAGGGCAGAGGGCAGATTGGAAGGCTTTGGGACCAGGACACACTTGGTACTGGGGCTTGGAGCCCTGAGGCAAGTAGACTGGAAGTCAGGAGGGGAGAGGTGAGTGGTTGGATGTGTCTGCCTTACTGGTCCACGCCCTGTACTGATATGCTCGGACTTCCGTGCATATCAGGAGGCCTTGGCCGGGGAGGGGAAGGAAGGGGAAGGGAAGACCCTTTTGGAGCGAGTCCTGAATTTGGGGGTTCCCCGAAGTCCTTTCAGTTAATGACCATGGAAGAGGAGTCTCGGGGGGGCAGAATGTGCCTCTCCTCCCCTCACCCCTTCTTTTCCCAGCAGATCTTCAGGACACAGCTTCCTTGGCCCCGTAAGTGCTGTGCTGTGAAGGACTGGGGCAAGGGGAGGAGGGATTGAAGGTGGGGAAGTTCTTCAGCTGCCATTAGCCATTAGCACCTCAAGGCGAGCCTGGGACCCAAGTCCGGATGTCAGTTTTCTCCTACCTGCTTGACTTGCTTCCTTGCAGGAAGTTTGAGTTTAACCCCAAACTGGGCATTGATAATCCTGTGCTCTCCCTGGCTGAAGACCACGAGCCCTCTGGTAACCCCCCACCACTTGGGGCAACCGTTTCCTTTCCCCAGAGCCACCAGGGCTCCACACAGCTTCCCGTCTCCTTGGTAACCACTCACTCTGTCTCCCTCTGATAACAGCCTTGGTGGGAGTATCCACGTGGCGGTGGAAGGGGGCCAGGCATTTCCTGTCCCCGCCACTCTGCCTGGTCCGTGTTCAGTCCCCCTGCCCAATACCTAACTGGGCAGAAGCCTGTCTGGTGTTCTATCACAGGGCAGGGTCTGCCAGACACAAGGTGACTTGTACTTGGGTCATGTCCCCTCTCCTCCCGCTTTTCTGCTGCCCACCTCCCCTTCCAGATCTCTGGAGCCTGGAACGACCTCGCTTCTATCTGCTCAACAGAGAAGAGGGCAGGAGTTTTGGCTTCCACTTGCAGCAGCAGCGGGGCAGGGCTGGGCATGTGGTGTGCAGGGTGGAGCCAGGCACCTCTGCCCAGCGCCAGGGTCTTCGGGAAGGAGACTGTATCCTGGGGGTGAACAACCATGTCGTGGAACATGAAGACTATTCAGTGGTGAGGTTGGGCTGGGACCCCTGTGGTACAGGAGAACATTCTATAGCACCTCAGGGAGACAGAAGCCGGTTGGTCACCTCCCTGGGTATATGGGGGCAGGACCCAAGCTTCAACCTCCCCCATCTCCCAGAACTTAGGGACGCCCAGGCCCGAATGGTTGCGTGAAGGTCTCCAGAGAGCTGGTTCCCATGGTGAAAAGTGTAGCTTCCAGGGAGGGGAAGCTGGCAAGAGGGGCCAGCCCAAGCCTGCTCCGTGTGCCCACCGTTCAGGTGATACGCCGCATCCGGGCCAGCGGTCCTCGGGTACTGCTGACGGTGTTGGCGCAGCACGTGCGTGAGGTGGCCCGAGCTCAGCAGGGAAACGACGCCCACCTCTGTCCCACGCTCGGCCGAGGGGTCCGGCCTCGGCTGTGCCACATAGTGAAAGACGAGGGCGGCTTTGGCTTCAGTATCACCCAAGGTGAGCTTGGAGCTCGGGAGGGCTCAGGAGGGGGCTCTCAGCCCTGCTCTGGGCAGGCAGCAGGCAGGGACTTGCTGTTTGTGCTTCCAGGACATCGGGGTCCTTTCTGGTTAGTGCTGAGCACTGGAGGAGCAGCTGAGCAGGCAGGAGTGCCCCCTGGGGCCCGGCTGCTAGAAGTGAATGGGGTCAGCGTGGAGAAGTTCACGCATACCCAACTCAGCAAGAAGGTATGACTGCCTGTTTCCCATCCATCCTCACCCCTCGGGCCTGGTCCCTGCCTCTGGAAGCAGACTCCTCCTCCACACGCCTAATCGCCTGATCCGATCTTGTAGCTGTCACCATCCTTCCCTTTATGCTCTGTGCTGGGTCCTCCCCTCCCTTCCCTAGTGCCTCATTCCTGGGCCTGGGGAGAGGGGCTGTGAGGAGGCGCCTGCCTCTGCCCTCCCTACCCAGGTGGTTGACGCTGATGCCCTGCTGGGTCCCCACAGCTTTGGCAGAGTGGCAAGCAGGTGACCCTGCTGGTGGCAGGGCCAGAGGTGGAGGAACAGTGTCGCCAGCTGGGAATGCCCCTGGCTGCACCCCTGGCAGAGGGCTGGGCACTGCCCACCAAGCCCCGCTGTCTGCATCTAGAGAAAGGGCCCCAGGGCTTCGGGTTCGTGCTCCGAGAGGAGAAGGGCCTTGACGGTAGGCTTGGTGAGTGAGAGCCCTGGGGGCAGGGAGGGAAGGTGGGCCTTGGGGTGGGCACACAAGTGTATATATACACCTCTCAGTGCACACAAGTGGTGGCCCTGGCTGAACCCCAGCCCGGGCCTCCTCCTCTTGTGTAGCCCTGGGTCAGTCCCCCGGTGTGCATACGGTGGCCTGGGCCGGCACTGGGGGTCAGTGGGGAAGGAGCAGTGAGGATGTCTGCATCCCAGGTCAGTTCCTGTGGGAGGTGGACCCAGGACTGCCAGCAGAGAAGGCCGGGATGCAGGCTGGGGACCGGCTGGTGGCTGTGGCTGGGGAGAGCGTGGAAGGGCTGGGCCATGAAGAGACAGTGTCCAAGATCCGGGCGCAGGGCTCCTGCGTCTCGCTCATCGTCGTCGACCCCGAGGCTGACCGCTTCTTCAACATGGTGCGAGCTGAGGGGCGGGGGCTAGAGAGAGTGCAGGAAGAGAGCAGGGCTCGGGTGGGGGAACAAGCAGCATGGTTTGTCCTATCTTCCTCTTTTCCAGGTTCGCTTGTCCCCACTTCTCTTCTTGGAGAGCACAGAGGCTCCTGACTCTCCCCAGGATACCGGCTCAGCCTCTCTGGTTGAGACCAGGGACCCACCAGTTGAAGACACAACCGTCCCACGCGGCTTCCGCCAGTGCTGCCTGTACCCTGGGCCTGGCGGTGGCTATGGCTTCCGACTCAGCTGTGTGGCCAGTGGGCCTCATCTCTTCATCTCCCAGGTGACTGATGCCCCAGGGACCTTGGATCTTTTCAATCATTTGCCTCCTGACAAGCCTTCCTCTGCTTCCCTCCCAGAGCCTCAGTACACCCAGCAGACTTTTCCGTGGTGTTCCAAGCTCTACATTCCCCCCCACCCCATTCCACCAGGTGACCCTAGGAGGCTCAGCTGCCCGGGCGGGACTGCAAATGGGAGATGTGATTCTGGAGGTGAACGGGAATCCCATGGGCGGAGAGAATGACCTGGAAAGACTTCAGCAGCTGGCTGAGGCGGAGCCACCCCTATGCCTGAAGCTGGCGGCCAGATCTCAGCAGGGCTTGGAAGCCTGGATTCCCCCAGGGTCTGGAGAGGTGAGGAAGAAGAGACAGATGGACTGTGAGTCAGCCAGAAGAGGACAGAGGGGAGCCAGAGCAGAGGGCAGAGTGGGAAGCTGCAGGGTGAAGCAGGGTGGGGCACTCAGGTTGGGACTTTAGGCCATGGTACGTGGGGACAGAAGGACCCAGGGAAGAAGCCCCATTCCTGGGCATCCCAGTGAGGTGGGGGGGGCACAGGGAAAGGGAACTCTTCTGGTCTCTGAATGACCTCTTCCCTTCTTTCTCTGCTTAGGACTGGGCTGTAGCCTCAGATCTACTGTAGCACCCCCCATGCCTGGCACAGATCTGCCCAAGCTTTCCTGTCTCCACTCTCCAGCCTGAGGTGGTGGGAGCTGAGATGCTCTCTTTAAACCAGAAGCTGCAGCTCTAGGACTCCGGATACCTCCATCACAGGATAGTCCTTGGCCTCCCTCCCTTCCCATGGGCCCACATCCTAGAAGAGGGTGTGGCCAGAGGCCTCAGGTGCGCCCATGAGGGATTCTCCCCTTTGATTCCAAAGGAAGTCACATGGGATCTTTGGGAGCTGTGCCCCAAGAATGAAGATCTGCGTGAGATGAGTGGTATGATTTTGTGATTTATAACAAGAAATATATGTGTGGCCTTCATACCCTTTCCTGGCACAGAGCTCCTAAAATCCTTGGAATTTCCTAAGTAGTAAGAGAGAGAAAGCTGTCTTCTGTTTTTGACAATAAGCCCCTTTCAACTACACCTAGTTTTGTTAATGAGGTGACTCTTGAAAAGCACCTGAGAATGGGGCACTGGTTTCCAGGGGAACCAGTCATGTGATTAGAGGTTTGGAACTTTCAGTGCCCCACCCCCACCCCTACCCTCAACCTCCTGGGAGGGGAGAGGGACTGGAGGTTGAATTAATCACCAGTGTTCAATGGATCTTGCCTACATAATGAAGCCTCCATAGAAACCCAAAAGGACAGTTTCAGAGAGCTTTCCGTGTTGCTGAACACGTGGAGGTGCTGGGAGGGTGGCGCACCTGGAGAGGGCGTGAAGCTTCCATGGTCATACCTCGCCCGGTTTATCTCTTCCATCTGGCTGTTCCTGAGTTGTGTTCTTTATAATAAACTGGTAATCTAGTAACTAAACTGTTTCCCTGAGTTCAATCACTCTAGCAAATGATTGAACCCAAGGAGGGGGTTGTGGGAACCTCTGATTGATAGCTGGTAGGTCAGAAGCACAATCTCTGGACTCGAGATTGGTGTTGGAGGTCGAGGGCAGTCTGTGGGACAGAACCCTTAACCTGCGGGATCTGATGATACCTCCAGGTAGACTGTGTCGGAATTGAGTTAAATTGTAACACAAAAGTTAAATTGTGTCTACGGAGAATTACTTGGTGTGGGAAACCTCCCTCCTCCACGTTTCACCAGAAATGAAGTAGAACTGAGAACGTTGTAGCAAAATAGAGAAGAAACAGAGTTTTCCCTTTCCCGGCGGGCTGTGGGGCCGGCTAGGATTGAAGCCACCTGGAATTTGCCCTAAGCATGACTCCAGGACTGTTGGGTATATTGCAGGAACTTGGAGACCGGCTGCACCTTCCCTCTGTGGGCACCTTAGGATTGTGGGAGCTGGTGCCTGGTCACCGTTGGTCTATTATAGAAATGGCCTTTCCCCACAAATCTGGCTGCCTTTGTTTGTGTTGGTGGGGGTAGGGTGACCAAAAGGGCCTCAGGCTCAAGGGGTGGGACCCAGTTTCTCTAGGAGAGAAGTTGAGACCTTGTCAAATTTCTCTCTTCTTATTCAGTCTCCAGGGTAATGGGTCAGCCCAGAACTGAGATGTTCCTATGAGGGGCACTCATCTCTGCCCAAAATCACAGCCCACAGTCCTGTTGAGTTCTACATACAGACAGCGTTATTGCTGGGGCCTCAGAGGGCCCCAGAGACTAGAGGCTCACAGTCAAAGATCCAGGGGGTTGAGTCCAAACTGGCGGAGCTGCTCCTTGTGCCGGGCGTGGACGGCTTGACGGCTCTCAGTTTGGCCGAGAGCCAGTCCAGGCTGTCCTGCAGACACCAAGCTTCAGATCTCAGGAAGGGAGAGGGCTGGCTGAGGGGTGTCCCAGGTTGGTCTGTAAGCTTTCCTGGACAGTGTTTTCTCAAAGCTCTTATTCTTCGTGGGTAGGCATGGTTGTATCCCCTGAGGATAGAGCAGAGTTCCCTACGGAGATGCTTCTTTTCCTTCCCCCGGCCTGTCATTGTCACATTAGCTGGGATTTTTTGGGGGGTGCTGGGCACTGGGATGGCTGGCCTTCAGAGGGTAGGGCTTACATGTAAGATTTCCTCGTATTTGGCCTCCATGTCTGCCACGTGGGCCCGAAGCTGAGCCAGAGATCGGTCCCACTCTCCAAGGGCCTGCAAGGCCTCTCTCCGTGTAGCCCTCAGCCTCCCTTTGGCACATCTCTGGGGACGGGGGCAGAAGGATGAAAGAGGACAGGACGGTGACACTCCACCCTTGAACAGAGTCTCCAAAGGGACCCAAAGAGCAGAACTTGAGTGGGATCATTCCAGACTTCCCCAGAGCCATCAACTTTCCCATAGTTCCTATAAAGAGCTGAAATATACCATTAAGGTAGAGTAGAGAGAGTGGGCTTGGGACAAGAGATCTGAGTCCCAAGTCTGGTTGTCATTTACTACTTGTGTAATGTCTGACATCTCTCTCTCTGAGACTCAGTTTCTTCATCTTTATAGAGAAAATGACCCATACTTCACAGGCTTGTTGTGAGAGTTAGATGTGATGATGTATGGGAAAGCACCTAGTAGGCAGGAAGTGCTTCATAAATGCTGACTGCATTTAAATTTGAGATAAGGCAAAGATGAGGAAAGGGGCTCAGGGCCTGCATGGCAGATAAGCAGCTCTTGGATATCTATAGCTAAAATAAAGCTATTTTAGGATAAGAAAATTTGAGGCCAAAATTGTGGAAAATCTGTGCACCATGCTAAAACTTTTCAACTCTATCCTGTTACCAAGATGGAAGAGAACAAAAGCTTATATATATATATACACACACACACACACACACACACACACACATACATGTATATGCTTATTTAGAAGCTCTCTCATTTATTAGCAAATAGTTATTTAGGACCTACCATGCATTAGGCCTTGAAGATAAGGAAATAAGTAGTTAAACAGTTTCATTTAAGCTTGGTTTCATTATAAAAATCAGCCAAACTGAGCGGGAATATGTTTTGCTGATGGGAGACATGGTGGCGGTGGGGAGTGAGAACTGGATTTGAAGACACCACTGAGAGAGGGAAATGGGGCGAGAGACTTAGGTCTTCTTCTTTTTTTTTTCTAAATTTATTTATTTATTTATGGCTGTGTTGGGTCTTCATTTCTGTGCGAGGGCTTTTTCTCTAGTTGTGGCAAGTGGGGGCCACTCTACACCGCGGTGCGTGGGCCTCTCACTATCGTGGCCTCTCTTGCTGCGGAGCACAGGCTCCAGACGTGCAGGCTCAGTAGTTGTGGCTCACGGGCCTAGTGGCTCCGCGGCATGTGGGATCCTCCCAGACCAGGGCTCAAACCCACATCCCCCGCGCTAGCAGGCAGATTCTCAACCACTGCGCCACCAGGGAAGACCAAGGTCTTCTTCTTATAGCTTAAGATTTTTTTTTTTTGCTGTCCTGAACCGTCTGCTGCGATTCTCAATGGTGGGAAGGTCAGTAGGGAAAGCAATATGAGAGCTTAGATTGCAGTCTTCTAGAGAAGAAACATCCTAAATCCACCTCTTCAGTCTGGGCAGCAGCAGTGATCCTCCGAGAGAAAGGGCTTCGAGGGTGGGGAAGCTGATCTAACTGCGCCCGAAGGCCCCTCACTTCCTCCTCCAGCTGCCTGCTGTGGGGCTCCATCACCTCCTGCAGGGTGCAGCACTGACGACTCATGTCTGTGGTGGGGATGGTGGGTGGCCAGGGACCCAGGTGGGGACAGAGGGATGGAGAAAGGATGGGAAGTTGTGAGTAGGGAGGGCTCTGCTTGGTCCAGTGGGGCAGATACATAAAGCCCTTTTGGTTCTTCTTGGGGTGATTCTGAGAAGCTGGGGAAGGAGCTAGGAAACAAGGTCCCCTTCCCCCTGCCACTCAGGATGGGGATTCAGGCCCTTCTCTCCATTCAGTCCCACAGGGTGAATGAGATAAAGGCTGTGGCTGCGTATTGTAACCCACACAGCATCAAGCGTGTGGCATGGGCCATCATGGAAGGCCCCTGCCCAAGATCCCAGAGGCCTTTGTTTGGTTCCTTCAGGATTCTTGTGTGTGCTGGGAAGGCTGAGACTAGGCATGGCAGATGCGAGTCCTCCTTGTCTCCCTACCCAGCAACCTCTGGCCCTCTTGGGTGTCCTCTTCCAGGCCCCTGTCTCCTGCCCACCTGCTTAATCAACTGCACACCTGCATATATGGCCTTCCCTTCACTCCAGGCCCCCTCCAGTTCAGCCTCCAGTTCTTGTATCCTCAGCTTCAGCTTGTCTTCAGAAGCCTTGGCTTGGCAGGCCTCATCCCTCCACAGAGCTGTGAACAGTCCCAGAGCAGCCCTCAGGACTGGCTGGGGACCCCACTAAATCAGCCCTGATGGCCTTGATGGACTCTGCCCACCTTTGGAAACCTGGCAGCAGGCTGCCAGTCTCTCATTGTCATTCTGGTGTTTGTATTTTTCCCCCTTAGAATCCTACAGGCTCTTCGTCACTAAGAACCACAAACTCCCTCTGTGTTCTGGCTATGAAAGATAACTGCCTTGGGACTTCCCTGGCAGCCCAACGATTGGGACTCCATGCTTCTACTGCAGGGGGTGAGGGTTCGATCCCTGGTCGGGGAACCCTCATTCCACGTGGTGCGGACAAAAAATTAAGAAAAATATAGCTGCCTTTATCAGCCCTTACTGCCCACCGTTTCCTCACAACCAACTCTTGACAATCTTTTTCCACTAGGGGATGGTTAGAGATCAGCTCAGCCCTCTACCGTAGCTCCAACCCTTCAAGCTCCCAGGGATACAGAAATGCCCATTGTCCCACCTCTATTGCCCCCAGAACTTCCACTCTTCTTACCCAAGTGGTCTTGGAGCATCTCCTTTTCCAGCAGTGCCAGCCTGTGTATGGATTCAGTCTCCACATCTGCCCTGGCAAGATGGCAGAGCCTCAGTTTGTCAGGATCTCAGCCTTACCTACTCCCCTCCCATCCTCATCCCACACCCTGGACTTTTTTTTTTTTGCAGGAGATCTCAGGACCACTAAATGAGGGATCTCTGATGGCAAAGTCTAATGAGTTCACTGCCCAGCACATAGCAGGTACTCAAAAGATGTGTAATGAGTACATAAGGAAGGCACAGAGCCAGAGGGGCTCAGATGGGCATGGGTGCTGATGTCCCCACTTCCCCAGCTCCATGGAATCTGGATGCAGATACGAAGGAGGGTCAAGACAGCTCCGTCTTATCGGGCAGAGGGCTGAATTCTCTCTGGAGGACCTCTGCTCGGTCTCTGAGCCAGAACGTGGAGAAGCAGGGGGCACCCACCTCCACCCAGCCTGACTCACCAACAGCTGCATTCCTTTTCTTCTTCTGTGTCCCAGGTTTTGTCCCTTTCTCTTTGGTCTTAGGTCGTATTTCCTTGCTGTCCTGGGGGAGAGAGGGGACTCGTAGTTAGGTCTGGACAATGGAGATGCTTACCTGACCCCTAGACTGAACCAGGAGTCTCAGGAGAATTAGTGTTCTAGTCTCCAACTCTGTCTCTTATACTTTTCAGAAGCTTCTGTTCTTGGTTTCCTTGGAAACTTAGGCAAGGCTGAGGCCACTGGGAAGGATGGAGTTGTTTCTCTCTATCGGTCAGGTTCTAAGTACAGAAATCATTCCTCTCAATCCTCTTTCAGAGAAAACAAAGCTCAGTACCTGGTCCCTTCCCTCTTCCCATCATCCTTACCCTGCCTCTTCCTTTCTGCAAGACCCTCTCTTGCCTCTGTCGTGTCTCCCTGTGGTGTGACCCACTCACGAGGAGGGGCAGAGAAAAGGCCCAACGATCTAGGAGCCAGAGGAGGAGACTGGGTTCTGGGAACCAATCCAGAGTGGCAAATTTCTGTCCGGGGCGGGACTGAGAACTGGAAGGTTGGGTTTCTGGAGGCGGCATGTTGTCCGGGCAACTGGGAAACATGGTGTTCATAGGAAGGTAGAAGGGACTAAATACAAAGCTTAAAATACCAAGGTCTCAGAGGGCCAATACTCTCCTTATCCCCAAATCCTAAGTGTAGTTTGAGGAGAAAGGGCTTTGGAGCCGATCATCTATGATTCACTTCTCTGTAGCACAGCCTGCAATTTGGAGACTTACAAATTACAGATTTACACATCTGAAATAATGCTGTTGTGCTGATACAGAGGAAAAGGACTGACAGTAGCCATTTTGGGCAATTTACACATCCCAAGGTCTCATCAGCAAAATGACATTATTAGGTTTAAAACTGAAGCTCTCCTTCAGGAAGGCACTCTGTGGTGTATGAAGGAAAGAAGTGCAGAAGAAGGTGGTTGAGAGAGTTTCCCCTTTCAGAGAAATAAGACGCAGAGGAGAGGTAGACCCAGGACCCCAGGGTGTTGACATAGAGAGATGCAAATGGAGAAGAAAGGGCACTGGTTAGAGATAGAAGCTGTGAGTTGTTTTCCCCTCCGTCTGGATATGTAAACTTGAGCAAGCCATTTAAACTTGCTCAGCCTCAGTTTCCTGGTCTTGAAATATTTGATTTTGGGGAATTCCCTGGCTGTCCAGTGGTTAAGACTCTGCGCTTCCACTGCAAGGGGCACAGGTTCGATCCCTGGTTGGGGAAATAAGATCCTGCAAGCCACAGCGTGCGGCCAAAAAATAAAAAAGAAATCTTTGATTTTGTAAATCTTGAAAGGCCTGGATTTCCCCTGGGTATTTACAGGACTACCTTCTCTCATTGTGACTTAATGTATTGCTTCTTTTCCCGTATTCCTGTCTGTGGTTGACTTTCAGACAGGTGCTGAGAAAATACCTTGCTTGGCTCTCTGCAGTACTGAGTTGGTTGGGGCTCCCTCTAGTGGACTTACTTGACCTTCTACTGAGTCTCCTGCGTTTTTCTTTCTTTTTTTTTTTTTTTTTTTTTTTTCCGGTACGCAGGCCTCTCACTATTGTGGCCTCTCCCAATGCGGAGCACAGGCTCCGGACGCGCAGGCTCAGCGGCCATGGCTCACGGGCCCAGCCGCTCCGCGGCATGTGGGATCTTCCCGGACCGGGACACGAACCCGTGTTCCCTGCATTGGCAGGCGGACTCCCAACCACTGCGCCACCAGGGAAGCCCTCCTGCGTTTTTCTATTTAAATTATTTACTGAGCAATGTTGGGGGGTTGCCCCCCACTTAGGGATGCTTCTTGCTGGAGTCATGAAGAGTTGGAAAAATAAATCTGGGGAAGGGACAATAACGAGTGGTTTGCCCTGGTCAGCAGCCCTCGTCCCCTACCCCCTCTCTCCAGCCCTGTGCTATTGGGAGCCTTGTTGCCTGTCTGTCACTGGGATCTCTGGACACCATACTGGCTAGAATGAAAACAGCAGAAACTTCAGGGCTTTTCCCCTTGCGGATTAAGGGAACTGCAGACTCTTTCTTTAGATATTTCTATCTCTGTCTTCCTCAACATTTTTTGGTCATTTTTGGTCAATTGCCTGTTGTCAGGAACAGATCTGAAGAAATAGCCATGAGATCTGGGGGAAAAAAATCCTTCCTCTAGGGAGCAGGCAGATTCAGGCAGAGACTGAAGATATTTATTTGTCACCTTCGTGGCTGCAGGGTACCTCTCTGACCCCGGGGACATTTTACAGAGTAAAGAGAAGAAGCGGCCTTGTCCTTCCCGTTGCTTACTGTTCCTGTACCTCAGTGTCAGATAACCTTGGGCACATCTCCCAAATCGGAGATTTTGCTTCTAATCTTGAAGCATGTTTTTCATTTATTCCTCCCCTCCCCCCAGAACCCTCTCTCCTTGAGTAGGAATGCAGTAGAGGTTCCTGTCCTGGTCCTTCCCTTCATCCAGAAGCCTGTTTGAGGACTTTTGAATAGAATAATTAGTGTCTCTGTTGTGCTGATGCACGGAGTCCCATATTGAGGACAGAAATTACAGAGTATAAACAACATATCGTGTCTCAGAAAAGCATTTACTTTTCAAATATCTTCAGTCAACCGACTTTCAGGTGCAGAGAGGATGTGGTTTGGGGCGAAGGTGAAATGGAATAAGAAAATTGCCACAGGTCACATGATGTGATACAAACTGAGCCAGCTGTAGAATAATCCAGGAATGAGAATGACATTGTGATCAACAATTCAACCTCCAGCACATTATGAAAAGAAGCCAAGTGAAAATTGTGAAAGAAAGGCCAATCTTTCTTTCTTTCTTCATTAACCTCAGTTCATAAGTGAAAACAGGAACGATCATTTCAGCACAACTCTGTCTTCCTTTGAATAGGATCCCTTCTGGGGGTTTTAAAGAGATACAGAGGAGAGAAGCGTCACCCTCTCTACTTCATGCAAATGTGAGACAAATATAGGTCATCATATATTAAAAGAAATATGGGACTTCCCTGGTGGCGCAGTGGTTAAGAATCTGCCTTCCAAAGCAGGGGACACGGGTTCAAGCCCTGGTCCAGGAAGATCCCACATGCCGCAGAGCAACTAAGCCCGTGCGCCACAACTACTGAGCCTGTGCTCTAGTGCCCGCGAGTCACAACTACTGAGCCCACGTGCCACAACTACTGAAGTCCACGTGCCTAGAGCCCGTGCTCCGCAACAAGAGAAGCCACCACAATGAGAAGCCCGCACACCACGACGAAGAGTAGCACCTGCTCGCCCCATCTAAAGTCCGTGCGCAACAACAAAGACCCAACGCAGCCAAAAATAAATAAATAGATAAATAAATAAAAAAGAAATATGGCTTACTACAGCAGAAAAAGAGTGCAAATTTTACAATTCCATTCTATACAGACCATACTGAACATAATGCAAATTGGAAGCCTTAAACCAAGCCAGAGATGTACAATGATGATGTACATTGTGAAGATGACCTACAAGCTCATACACAGCTCCAAGGGTTAATTTCTTAACCTATATTCCATAAAATCTAGGATTTGACTACGAGGGGAAAAAGTACCCTTGCATGTCTATAGTGTGCTAGGTACTGTGGAAGACCAAAGTCGATAAGACAATATAGCATAAATTAATGTGTGGCAGGTGAGAAATAGATGGTTATGGAAATTTAGAGGAGGACTGTCTGGAAAGGAGGACAATATTTGAGTTGAGTATAAAAAAATGGATTGGACTTTAGTAGCACTCTTTAGGCAGAGGGAATGCTCTGAGTAATAGTGATGAAAAAAGAAAGAATTGTGGTATTTTGTGAGTTGGTGAGTCACCCAGCATGGGATATATGTACTGGAGTAGTACAAAACTGCAAGGTAGTTTGGAGTTAGATCATAACTGCTAATTTCATTCAGGAGGCAATGGGGAGTGTTTAAAGTGTTTTCTTTTGTTTTGTTTTGTTTTATGCTGTCAGACCTATACGTTAGGAACACTGGTCTGGTGGCAGCATGGATTGGAGGTGGCAGGGAAATCAGTGAGGAAAAGGTTTCAATAGACCAAGGGAGAGGGAAGGAGAGCCTGCAACTAAGGGTGGATGCACTAGGGATGGGAAGTTTTGACAATTATCTAAGAGCTTTGCCTATATGTTTTCTTTAGACGTTTTAACTCTTTCTAGGTAGGAATTGACTAATGGAAATTCTACTGATAGGAAATAATAATTTTGACTCTGCAATCAATCTTAGATACAGGCCATTGAATTACAGACAAGGATATTTTTTCCCCTCTTACAGGACTGTTTGATAAGCTTAATTCCCTAATCAGTCAAGAGCTTTGTAGAAGAGCTAGGTGGGGAATCTAAGGAGGAAGTGAGTACTTATTGAGACACCAGGGCCTGCATATTCCCAAAGCGGAGGCTCAGAATTAGCAAATTGGGGCAGGGCACTTCCTTCTTTGGGAGAGAGGTTCTTTTTTTCAAAGTTTTCAAAGGAACTTTGAGACTAGAAAAGTGGAAGTGACTGGGAACCGCATTACTGTTCCCTGGGAGGAGCGAGGACTCCTCAGGCCAGGGCTTGAAGCTCAAGGTTTCCGTGGTCAGGGCTTGATGCTGGCAGTGCCCCCTGTGGTGCAGTGTGCTGCGCAGGGGAATCTTAGGTACATATTCAATTTCCAGAAAAGGAACTTGTGTTCAAAGCAAAAAAAGGGGTAAGTGTTTTGTTTTCAGAAGGGTCAAAGGGCCTGGAAGAAGAGCTCGAGGCCTAAGTGTCTCAAGCCTTTCTGGGGTCTAATCAGGAGGCAACAATCTGCAGCATTCACATTCCTGTCCTTGGTCCTGACTTAACTAGTTTAAAACACTAAGGAGTGGAGAAACAATTTCCGTTTTTCTCCCACAGTGTTAAGAAGCAAACAGCTTTAAGTTCAATTTCCTCATTTGTCAGGTGTGGGGTAAAGACTTGAAGTTCAGATTCTTTCTATGGCCACCTGTCTTAATTTAAATAGCCCAATGACCGCCTCCAGGAGGGTCATCCCACAACCCACAAGGAACACGGAGGGCTCGGCTTCTGCCTAGTGCGCAGGCTC